GATCTGGTTCCTTTTGAATGCCTTGAAGCAAACGAGGGCTTGGTTCGTAAACGCTGTGTTGGTGCATATGGTAAATAAAATGAGCGCGAATTACTGCCTCAAGGTATTGAAAAGTAATGTCAAAGTAATTGTAATGTAATGTCATTACCTTTACTCTGCGGTAATTTGTAATGTAATGTCATTACCTTCACTCTGCGGTAATTTGTAATGTAATTTAATTACATTTTTGCAGTTTTCAGGAAAGTAATTAGTAATGTAATTAAATTACTTTTTGAAAAAACTTTTGCCATCTCTGGATGGTACTCTACAATCTAGGCTCTCTAGTCGCCTGCGATCTTACGTGCCGCCATCTGTCGTCTGTTGCGCCAATCAGACGCCGAGAACCCGAAGCGCGCGAACGCTTCTCCGGCTGCTCCGGCCGTCCCATTCGTGCGGAGCATAAAGTTCTAGAGGTTCAGCTGGCGCTAGTGTCTACGGGACTTCCGGTGGCAAATTGAAGCAGACAGCATGCAGTCTACATTTCCAGCCTCCCTGTGTATTCCTATGGGAAAACGCGCGTGAATTGTCTCTTCGCCGGAAAATAACATGAATAACTTTCGTCATTTCGGTTGTACCGGAAGTATGCACCTTTATTGGTATTGTGAAAGTGTAATTGGTTTAGTTACAGCATTTTTCTCTACCACTGAACGATGTTAAACTAAAACGAGCGAAGATTCTAAGCAAACTAACAATCGAAAGGAATGTAGAGTGTGTTCAAGGTTTGCTAGCATTTCGGCGGTGCTTATATAATGCTAATATGCCCGTCCTGTCATTGGATGAAAATGACTCCGTCGTGCACCTTTACGATCGGTTAAAGAAACATTCGAAAGCAAAAAAAATAAACACGTGAGCGACGGAAGGTGTCTTTTTCATTATTTTCTATGTCGGCAGTTTTTATCGGGCACCTGCTCTCTGGCTCCCCCTATTTGCAAAGATTTAGAGCGTGCGGGTGATGATTTGAACCCATAACAAGCATCTTCGCACATATTCATGAGCAGAAAGAATAAAGCAGTACTTATTTATTGCAAATCTGGCTATATTACGTGGCTTTCGATTCATTTTGATCGTCTGCGTGCACAAGGAGTTACTTGTCCAGTGTTACTGCATAGTTCTTGCCGTCTCTCTTGGTTTTCCGCATGTCCTTCGATCGTTTGGCACGTATATCCCCCATGCTGGAAAGCGTCGACGCCGTGTTCGCGCTAAGTGCCCGACAGTGCACATAAATGCACGTACGAAGCGGTTTTAACACCGTTTTTCATACCACGAATTTCAAATAAAAATACTGTAACTAACCAATTATTTCGTCTGCGTGACTGAAAAATATTACAATGTGCCTAGTACGTACAAATTATTCGTGATATTCGCTCTTATAATCGAGCGCAGAGAGAAAATGCACTAGCTTTTTCCCATAGAAATGCATTACCGGAAGTCAATTTCAGGCTGCTTGCTGTCTGCTTCAAAATGCAACAGCACACTAGCGCCAGCTGAGCCTCTAGCGTTTATTGTAATAACTCTATGGTGCGGGGGGGGGGGGGGGGGGGGGGGGGGGGGCGTAATCGGAAAAAGAGAAGGAGGCGGCTTCTCTCTGCGGGCAGGCGCTCCCAACCCAGTCATTGACAGCATGGCGCGAGGCGGGAGAGTTCAAGAAAAAGTATTGTTACATCGAGTTACTCCAACTACTACTTACAAATTCTTGTGCATCGTGGTAGAACGGTGAACAGCTGCTCTGGGGACATAGGTAGACAAGTTGTGATGCGCATTTAATTATTTAATTTGAGATATTCATCTGGACATGTTGCGGCTAGCGCTACAAACGCGCCTTTTAATAAATTTGACTGCAATCTGTAGCACGTATAAAACTAAAAAAAAAAAATCATGCTACATTTTTTTTTTTTTTTTCACGTTGTTTGGCGTAGTTTTTTTAGCCTGAGCACGAAGTTTGTTACTATATAGTGAAGTCCGTGTTGTCCTTCTTTTAATATTTTGTTCATAATTATTACGCACTTTCTGCGGGTCGTATTGCGGTGTCTGCTTCTACTAGAAGTACTTTTAAGCCGGTGTCACACTACTTATACATTATACAAAAGGCAGTCTGCAGGTATCATAGCGGGTTCGTTTCACACGCACTGGTACCGTTCTAGTCCTCTCCCAGAATGCATCGCACTCGCAGTGTTGCACGGAGAACTGGACTCAAACGAACACGCCGAATGCACCGAGCGCAGAAGATTGATGCTGCCGCCATCTACGTTGTAGAAAAGGTACCAACCTGAAACCGGAACTAGCGCCTTTCTATTCGGAGTGATGGGTGGGAATGCGAGAGTGCAGTCGCTACCAACGTTTATCTACAAACATTGGTCGCAGCAACCTGTAGTTTATATTGGCGATGACTTCAAGCAACTCGGCTGTCGTAGAGATAGTTACAGACGGCGTAAATTTCCGCAACCAGCTGTCGACAAAGCAACTGGTTGCGATCTCTTTATAACCGCTTACACTGAAGAAAACTGATGATGCTGTCCGAGCAGAAGCTTGATCCATTTGAGCATGGTATTATGCGTGAACCACTGAAAGGGTACGGCTTAAAACTAGTCTGTTGGAATATCCAGCAAAACTTTTCGTGGGACTTTCGCTTCGATCGTCAATACAGGTGGATCAGATATTAGCCTTGGTGAGGGCGTCAAGAAAAAGAGCTTTGTTGAACAAAATACGACGGGGCAAGTTAGCTAACGTAGGTAAATGTTAAACATGATGATGTTGCCCAAGCCTCGGGTAAAGTCACTATGTTTAGCTTTCTCTGATGCTTATTGAGCAGTCACAGGTTTCTGCTGGGGGAGTTTTGTCAACAAATGTTCAATTTTTCACCCCCCACAGATGGTGATAAACATCTCGGGTGCCGCTGATGTGTTTGTTCTGAGCATTTTCTTTACACACTGGTATATTTCAGCGTTTGTACGGCAACAGAGCGACTTAAAACCTGCAAATAAAGCACGGTTTGTCAATTGCTTCCTTTATGAAATAGCAGACGCTCACAATTCAAGCTCGTGTTTGATTCCGTTGCCCGCGGGACGCGATTTCTATCAGAAAATCTACTTTTTTTTTCTTTTCGGTTCCGCGACACATCGTAGCAGACGAACCCTCGTCGTCTGCTCCCGTTCCTCGCCGAAGCGAGGCATGACGGGATTGCATTTCGGCGCACTCCCGATTTTCTCGGTGCAGCGAGTGCATGCACGCGTGGGGTGCCAGCGCTGAAACGAACTCGGAGAGTACAACCACTCGTGGAGTGCCGGCTGAAACGAACCCTTACGCTGCGAGTGGGCACGCGTGGGCACGAGTGCCGCGAAACGTCATCACGACCTCCGTGGTTCAAATGCCGCGTGCCAAGTGTCTCCTTGAACTCGTCGCCGTGCGACATTCGGAGCTCGTGGTGACACGCGTTTGAATCTGTTTGCAGACTGTCTTTTGTATGATGCATAAGCAGTGTGACCCCGGCTTTGGGGACACACTTATGGCGGTGAGGTACGGCCACCTCGCAAAGATTGCGTCATTTTTTTTTTATCTTTTTATAAACTACGTGATAATTGTAGGCGCTAATTGAAAAGGTGGGGCGTTATCTTGTAAATGTATAAACAGATTCCAAGCCTCGAATTTTCAGGTCAGGTTAGATGCGAAGTACTTTGCAATGCAATGGCTTCAAGCAGTTTCTTTCGATACGCTAGCCTGTGTCATAGTCATGCCTATGTTGACCAGGAATGGCCCTACAAACCTCTACATTACAATCCTAGAATTTTTTTTCATGGTCATCTCTTGTAGCTAAAATAAAACTAAAAATAAAAAAAAAACGTAGCTTCGTACAGAAAAAAAGTATATATATACATATATTTCCCTGAATAAAAACAACCATGCTGTACTCTTTTTTTCTGAGTTTGGGTGAACGCAAGACGAAGCACGACGACAAGACTGACACCACCCACCCGCGATGCCTGCGACTATTATAGAGGTCTGCACGGGCCCATATTTAGAAGCCCGGCCCGTTGTCTATTGGGCCCGGACATGCCCTCGCCCCGTTATCCATTTCCGACAGCCGGCGCGGCCCGGCCCGAAGCTAATTTTCAGGGACCAGCTGCGCATTATTTTAGCCCAGTATGAATAGCTCACAAATTGCGCGGTATGGCAGCTCGCTTGCTACTGCTACACATAAGTTTATTACCCGATAGCAGGAACGTAGCCAGGGGGAAGGAGGGGGGCGCTTCCCCCCCCCCCCCTGAAATCTTCCATTTTGCCGGGACCTCCTCTCCCCCCCCCCCCCTTCATACAGCATTTTGTCATGGGCGTCCCCCCCCCCCCCCCCCAAAAAAAAAAAAAAAATCCTGCCCGATAGTAAATACTGTAAGCCTTTTTTTTTTTTTTTGCTGCTATTATTAGTAGGACTAAACTGCAGGCCTAGGCAGCTTGTTAAGAAAAATCACGCCGATCTTTCATTTCTGCGACCAAACCCGTGCGGAAAGAACGGAAAAACAAAAATGACAAGCAGCAGTAAACAAAACCACGTGCCACAGTTGAAAAGGAAGGGAAACGTCACGACGGGTTTGGACAAAAGACAAAGTTTTAAATTAGCCACTCTCGCTGCGCACAACCGTAAAAAAAAAAAATTAAATGAAAGCCGTTTACAATCTTCTGTAACGCCGAATTAGAGCACAGCTCTTGAGGAGGAGGGAAGAGTACTGAGGGGAGAAGGTGGAAAGTCTCCCACCACTGACATAGGTGTGGATCGACGTGTGCTTAACGAAAGTCGCAGAAAATGCACATCTTCGGCGAGAGCATCGCGTGTAAATTTGGCGGGAATTTTCCTGCAAGCTACGCGCCCAAATATCCTCTGCAGAGGCCAGCCGAGCAGCCTCTGCGGACGCCGGCCGGCAGGGTTCTGGGGAGCGGCGGCAGGGTTGCCAGGTGTTTGTACTCTGACCCGCCTAATATCTACGTTTATTTTAAGCACGAAAGACACACAACACGTTTTTATACATCAAATAGAAATATTCATACTAGCATCACTAGTTGGCAGAACCAACGGCAAAGCACGGGTACATCATTCCGGTATTAAAACGTGTCAGAAAAGCCTTTGAAAGTACATAGACCTTGCAGCATTGCTCTTTGCCCCACAGTCCGAATTTAGCATACAAAATCTAAAAAAAAACTTTAAAAAATTCTCAGCTATTTACGGCGCGAAAAGAATGTGTAATGGCAGCCCGTGGAAAAGTGGCTACTAGTCACGTGACTGGCCACTACCGTCACGTGGTGCTTGCCCTCTTTCAGGAGCTTTTTATGGGCTCTAAAAATTGCTTATTAAACTTTTTTTTTTTTCAGTGCAACAAAAAAACTTTTATTCTAAATTAATTTTATGACATCCTTTTCCATCTAGGCTGTTTAAAAAGAAATGCCCTTTGCATGTTTTTTTTTTAATACATTGAATACTCATGTCCCTTTCTACCAAACATTTCATGTTAAACATTCATTTGCCATACAGTACTTCATACACCTTCCCCTCAGACATTATATAATGATGTCAACACACTCCACAATGACACAAGTGACAATTTCTGTGCACTATCAGATGATTTTGTGACCAATTCATAACGTAGTCAATTTTTTTTTTGTTAGGAGCAGTGTTACCAAAAAAGTAACTAAATCTGTTACTCGTTACTTGCAGAATAAAGGAATGCATTACAGATATATGCTACCTCAAAATAAAAGCAATGCACATTACTTTGTGTTTATAAATTGACAGCAACATCTTTCGACACTGGGACAAGGGGTCTGTGTGCTGTTTTTTTTTTTTTCTGAAGTGGGACTTTTTGCATTGGGAAAAGACGGGCAAAACAATTTGAAGGCCTAGCAATGCGAAAAAAATTTAAGTACTTTTTCTCAGGTCTTAGGAAGATGTAACGAGTAACGTAACTATGTTACCCCTTATTTGTTATAAGTAATCCAGGTATGTTACCCGTTACTGTTTTGAAAATGTAACGTGCATGTTACTACATTACCGAAAAAAGTAATGCGTTAACGGTAATGCCGTAACTTGTAACGCCTGACCGCCTACACTGATTAGGAGTATTTATCTCTGTTTAAGGTTTCCAATTTTCTAATGTAGGTTCACCAAAGGGCCGATTTGGTCGTTTTGGGATGCTTAAAAATAGTAACGATTATAAAATACTGCAACCCCTTCAATATCTTGTCTCGGTGCTTTTCCAGTCCTTTTCCTTTCTTTTTTGTAATGTTGTTTTGTTATAGTATGCTTCTAAGTTCTACAGTGTTCATCAAGGAAGCTTGGCACAAGGTGCCGGCAACAAGTGAATGTGTCTTGCATTCCTCACTGCTGCAGTCTGTCTTCTATAGGTCCAACTTATCCGCTTGCGTGTCGAGGTTCCTATTCCTGCTTTCAGCGTACTCCGAATAGGTGGTATTCACTGAACCTGCAGGTTTGATTTTGCCAGGGAGCACCACCATCGAGCCACCATCTTTGAGGACACATTTTTCTTATTTGGCTGGTGAAGCCTGGCGGATTTACTGTGCAGCTGTGCAGTTGGTCGTGTGTTGAAGCAATTGTTCTTGTCGATTGACGCCGCGGTACCACTTTAATATGTACAAATAGCAATCTTTTCGTGCCCAGAAAGTTGCTCTGCAAAATCACTAAGCCACATTAAAGATTACCTACTTACATGGGAAACTGTGCAGTGCATTTGTGCAGAGGAACGACCACCGTGGGCACATCACAGAGCTGACAGGGCAACATGGTAACACGGCCGTAGTGGCTCAGTGTGCCAGTGACAGAAACAAGCAGAAAATTATCCAACCATGCTACAAAAACATCAAAATAGAAACAGAACCCTGAATATCATACAGTAACTTGAAACCTATGAATTTTTGACAATTCCAGCTTACCTTTGACATGGGAAAACGGTAGGTGCAATGTTACACAGAATGACCTCGAGGATGGCAGCCGCGGCGCTCAATGCCAGCACATTTAGTGAGTGAGGTCAAGTTAATACCATCTATCACAGCCATCGCTGTTGACTTTCGCTTAATCGTTGAGTTGCCAAGCCCAGAAAAAAACCTGTGTTAGTGACAACACTGTGTTGTCTTCGAAAGGCAATGCCATCTGGTGCGAGGGTAATGATGATGAGAAACGCCAAAAACAAGAAGAGTCATTTATGGCCACAAAGTTCGCACCTTGCGTGGCAATATTTGCGCGCCTTGTGCGGAAATACTGTTTGACAGGTTGTGCAAACTGCCTCAAACGTCGATGGGCAGTGACGAATGTTAAAACATGCTGGTATAGAATTGCATGCGGCCAAAAAGCAAGCAGTGTTCTGTACAAGGGTGCATCCGAATTCAAGAAATGCATGTGTGTACTGCAAGCTGTCGTGACTATAAAGTAGTAGCAAATTATTTCCAGGTAGAGCCAGAAATGTCGCAAACAATTTCCAGGTGGAGACAGAAATGTAGCAAATATACCAAAAATCACCAAACGAATCTGTTGCCTCCCATAAGAGCACAATTTATAGATGAATGGTTGAAGAACGACAACTACTGCAATCTCTGACTGCAACTCCATAAGCTCCTGTAGCTATGTCTTTCTGTGTTGCCACCACATGTGCCACTTTCCTGAAACAGACACCATTCTTCATGTCGAACCTCGCTGACTGGGTAATTTCAGTTCCTTAACGCCCTTAGGGCTGAACTTCCCGGACATTATACGCTCCTTCCTCAGCTCCACCTCTTGCGTCTTGGCTGCTGCTGCCGCCTTGGCACACTCCAGCTCGTTCAGATACTTGACTATAGTTTTCTGAAAAGACAGGAGATGCCAGTACTAGTTTCACATTCAACCAAATGTCACATTCTCAGTGCTGCCGCAGTTCTGACAAACCGGCAACAGTCGAACTCTCGCTCGACGCTAAGGTGACACAAAGTTAAGAACACGAGCCAACTTGGGCACCTGATGAGCCTGTAAAAAACCTCTGAATCCTTGAGGGAAAAAAAATATTCAAGGCTAACTTAACTTACCGTGTACTCAATTTGCTGAAGGTAGCGCTTCTTTTGGTTTGTGTTCAATGGTGCTGGCCTTCCATCTAAATAAAAAAATGACTGATTAGCAACCAGTCTTGGGTAGTAACGCGTTACTAGTAACATGTTACTGTAACTTTGTTACTTTTTTGGTAACTTGTAACTGTAACAAGTTACTTTTTAAAAATGTAACTTGTAACTGTAGTTCTATTACTTTTTCTGAGGTAACGATGAAAGTAACAACGTTACTTTTGTCGTTACTTTCCAGTTTTTTATGAATAATATATCACTGAACGAGTACAATTTAGCCATTCTTTACGCTTTCCGAATTGTCTGTTCCGACATTTCGAGTGTCAAGTTATTTTTTGCACAAACTTGTATGTTCTTTCTCGACAGTCACAACCCGAACATAGCCACGTGAAGATTTGGTGAAAAAAAAATGTAGTTATCTTTAGCAGGTGCTTGTACTTTGTGACTGAACACTTGCATCTTAGTATCTTGAAGAACTATCTCTTTTACGTGTTTTTCTTTTTTTCTGCGCAAACGCTTTTTAATCAGGTGAATCAAAGTGAAACAACAATACACGGCAGGGCACTGCGAATGCTTCATATTTTGGTTAGCGCCACCACTCCGCACTGCGCATGTTTTGTATTTTGCGCGTTAGACGAGCGCCTCTTCAGCAAGGGCAGGGACGTGTTCATTATCAAACAAGGGAAACATTCAGACACTGATTTCGAGAAGCAACTGCTGCTAAGTTACAATATGAAGTAAAAAGCACTCTTTTTTAATTTTATGCAAATGAACTTGGTGAAAAGCGTTTTCTAGTTTTTCCTATTTTTTTTTTTTTTTATAGAAAAGTAACTGAAAAGTAATGTCATTACTTTTTAAAAGTAGCAGTAACAGTAACGAGTTACTTTTTGTTGCGGTAACTGTAACGGTAACTTCGCTACTTTTTCTGAAAGTAACTGTAACTGTAACTAATTACTTTTTAAAAGTAACTTACCCAAGACTGTTAGCAACTAACTCTAATAAATAATTTCAATGAATCCACCCACCAGCAAAGGACCAGTCAGGTGTGTCGGCAAAGATGCGGGCGGAATTCCAGCGTTCGGGGAGGCCGTACCTGAACATGTAATTGTAATATGCAGCTCAACAACTACCAGTGAAGTTAATCACAGCCAGCAACGGAAATAAATTTGAGAATAGCTTCCGAAGATGTTCCTTCTAGAAATCATTGCTTGCACTAAATGCTGTGTTAAGTCCACGCCTAAGCTAGCAATGGTAAACAAGCCAAGTGTTTACTGGGCCAATGAGCTTCCGACGTTGCCCCACATGGTGGAACCTTTGCACTTAGAGGGCAGTCATGTGGTGCAAGGCACACGGTGAATAAGTCAAGCTGGCTTGCAGCTTCGCACTTGAATTCCATAATAACATAAAAAATAATGAGTTTTTTATTTTTTTTTGTTGTTGTTAAGCAGTAAAGAACACTGTGCAGTAAACACAGCTGACTACCAAATGAAAAATGGCAATGGTATGGGATTTGCAGACAGCTTAGCCTCTGCTGTAAGAAGACGAGCACCACAAAAATGAGCCAACTTACGAGACTCTCCAATTTCTCGCCCGTTGCAACGAACCAGTGGAGTGTATGCCTCGTACTGATGTTGCAATCATGTCTACAAAGCAAGCATCATGTTATATTAGAAGCTGCGGATAAATGCTAGAAATCTTTATTAGACAATGAGGTAAACCATAACTGAGATACTATGTGTAATAGTGGTACTAGTTCAAAAGCTCACTTCACAAAGAGTTCCCCTTCATTTCTCCTGTATTGGTCAAGATTAAAACTTCTATTCAACTCGATGGGAACGAATGTCTGAAATGTTAGGCCAGCAAGAACAAGGTGGCGCAAAGACTACTATTGTAGAATACCGCAGATGCACCCCATATCACGCTAAGCGCCCATTCCCGAATTCGCAAGATCAGAGAAAATATGCACAGTACATTGATATGTAAAATTGATGACCGGACAAGCGCCCATCCCCCATTCTTTCGCAATTACATATAAATTTTGAGTGGGCGCTTGCCCGGTACTTTACGGTAAGGCAATTTGTACCTGTATTGCATTTTTGTTGATACCGTAATATCCCGAGAGATAGCCCACCTAAAATCGAGAGTGAACTGGATGAAAATAAAGAGTGGGCTAACCTTCAGTGTGCAATGAAGAAAAGTTGAAAAAACACTATTTTTAGATCACGTGTCCCTGCCGAATATATTATCCTGGCGAGGGGCAATGAAGCAAGGATGACTGTACTTCCCAGTCAGTAATATTTGCTTATATTCCCCCCATAGCTAACTAGACGCAGTTACGCCGAGGTCATCATTGATTCAAATCCTACGATTACTAGGAGCGGACTATCTTTCGGTGTATATAAAAAAATAGCAAATCGAGCAAAAAATAGGGATGGGTTACCTTTTAAGGGTGGAGCATCTCTCGGGATTTGATGATAGTCGGTTCAAACCAACTTTTGTACTATACTAAATAAACCGGTTTACACCGCCGAGAACTCGACGCTGGCATACACGTGCTTTACAAGGTGCAAGTGATGGTTAGTATCCCTAGCCACAACCTTCCTTCCATTTGTATCTACTTCAAACAGTAAACTCGCCAAACGTATTAAAACAATTTTTCTTAATTCTTGTAATATCTATTTGCTCGTCCCGACGTAGCAGTCAGTTCAAAGTTCAACGCTCGGTTTATAATTGTGTTGTGCGTATGTTTACACCGCCGGAAGTTAGTCAGCCTCAACAGGCGTCTGGTGCCTCAGCTGTAATAATATTAATATTTATCTGCAAATAAATAATTTCATCCTGGGTGGCGTGCAAGGCTGTGCAGAAAGGTGAAAACCCGTGAGCAAGTGCGCCTGACAGCCCGCCACCCAAACGTGCACCACGCAGTAGTGATACACGATGCTCATCCAGATCGAAACGGGCAGGAGTGGGGGTTGGACGAAGGATCCCTGGCTTCTACAGCGCGAGCTTTCGCTCCACGCGTTCCAACTTCCGAGCTGCGCTGCGCTGCGCACACGACCACCCATTTAAAGAAAGCGTGCGTAGTACATACAGCAATACATTGCTCCAAGAAAAAGAAAAAAAACAGCGGAAACTGCGCGATGAATTCTCACGTAGAAGGAATTTATATAAGCTCAGTAATCTGAAAATACTTACAATTAACTTGTGGAACGCGCAACATCCCGGGACCAGCACGAGAAGCCACAGCCACCGCCATCATGAAAATGGAGGACCGCAGAAATGACGCTGCGCAGGGAATACATCTCAACCCTCTCAACCTCAACTAAAGGTCTGTTTACATGCATTTTTTAATAGAGGGCTAGTCCTGTAACTTAAGTTAGTAAGAGTCATTATTTGTGCAATTGTCTTTTGGGAGGACAAAAAAAAAAGGGCGGTACAACGTTCAGGCGGGAAAAAGGGGTGGGAGGGGAGCGCGAGATTTAAAAACGCAGTAAAATTACTTTTTTTTTTCCTTGATTGCTTTGGCTAGCTGGTGTGGTAAGTTCTCAAAATACTTGGCGTTCTTTAGAAGTATGAAACAAGTATCAAGCTTTCGTTTTCACCAAGTGCCACCGGCCACACAGCTTTCCACTCAGTCAAATATGAGCCGTAGTCAGAATAATATCGCCAGCAAAATAACTGCGCAGTTTGTGCATGATCGAAGATAGCCATGAAGAAGTAATCGTGCAACATATACACATGCACGCATGCATAAGTGGGAAATCAGAAAAACCACATACCATAATTTCTGCCACCCTGTACTCCTTGGTGCTTGCAACATAGAAGACACTAAAAAATTGTGACTCCAGCAAAACGAACTGCACCCAGCGGGAAAACACTGAACTGGCTGGAACAGATCCTTTTGCAATTTCTGATCATCTCTTGACTTCAGTGATTCCGTGTTGGCACTTGGCACGATGGCCACCGAAGTAAAGGGGCTAGGTTGGTTGCAGTGGCGTGCCAACCTGTTTCTGAGTGTGCGTGTGCGTGTGGGGAGGGGGGGGGGGGGGGGGAGGGCAGACCCCCCCCCCCACCCACCCCTCCCTTAAGGGCCGGGGGGCGGTGCCTTTGGTATCCCTTGGGTGCTAACGGCCAGTGTTTGCCCTGCCCAGTGACGGCTGTTCCAGGGGCGCCGAAACACTATAGCTTGCCCCAACCCCCCCACCCACTCTCAGAGCCGAAACACCATACCTTGCCCCAACCCCCCCACCCACTCTCAGAGCTTGCCCCCCCGGTTGGTACGCCCATGGTTGGTTGTGTCCACAGCAACGAAAACGGCAGCAATGAAAGGCGGTGGCAATCAGCTTCATCGAACGACGTTTCATTGAGACGCAATGTTTCATCGACAGATTGTTTCACTGACAAATCGTTTCATCGACAGCTCAAATTAGCTTATTATGTAATAAGCTGCATGAGACTCTCGCCGCGAAGCGGCGTGTAAGGGTCGGTCAGGTGGGTTAGCATTTTTGTAATGAGCCGCCACAAACCGTCGCCACGAAGCGGCGTGAACGCAGATGGTGGGGTGGATTAATGCGCACACAAGTGAAAAACGCATGGCAAAATGTCCATACAGCATGCAATTTGCATAACGAGTGTTGACGAAACGTGTGTTCATGAAAAGTTGTCCACGAAACACAATTCCATGAAACGAGTTTCGACAAAATGATATGAACCCTATAGGGCAAACAGTTGTCCCAGTGTCTATGTCGCTACTGTCATATTAGTGTGCTGCCTAGGTCATTCTAAACACAACCTATTGTAAGCGAATATGCTAGCGGTCAAGATGCGCAAGGAGAGCCTCCCCTGCCTCGACCGGGTGATGCGATCGGAACCCAATCAGCTCGAATTCAACTCTTGATGCCGGCGTCCTGGTATGGAAATGAGAAAGAAGGAAGACCACGAGCAACAGGAAGCGAACGAGACAAAGGGATAGATACCACTGCGACAGGAATGAAAACAAATGCGAATATAGCCCTCTTGTATCAAATGATTTCTAAAAAAAAAAAAGTTTTCATTAAATCGTTTTACAGTCTACGAGACCGTGTTCATTTCATTCTAACACTATGCAACTGCATGAACCAAACATTGTGCATTTGTCAATGTTCATCAGCGGAAAGAAGGCTAAACCTCTGGAAGCTGCTCGCCTACAGCAACACACCGCCACGGGTTTTGACCGCAGCGGATAAAAATCGGGGCAAACCATTTTGGAGCCAATTCTTGCCTGCTTTAACCCGAGCATTGTGCATCGGGCTGGCACAAGCCAAACCCCAACCCGTTTTCAACCACCATATTTGTCGAGAGTAGCAACCCTTAGAGGACGTTGGAGTTACCATTATGGGTGGAAACCGGGGGAAGCGTTTGGCATTCGAGCGCATTCGAAAAGTGAGTACTAGAGACAAAGGCTCACTAATCATTCTAACCACAGCTCAGTGTTCCGGCGTCCCTGCACGCCTTTTGTCTCCTCCTTTTCTACCCGTATAGATTTGCGCCCACATTATGCTTGGATGTGCCAAATCGGCATTTGGTTGTTCAGATCAAAGGAACTTCTAAGTTTTTGTTCCAAATGGCGCCATTCGTGCATAGCAGCGTCAACCAGACGGCTTGTTCCTTCCTTCTTTTTGTTTCTGGACACCTATACTTACGAAATTTTAATATATTACATGCACCACCTAAAGACACCTTTGTAAAGAAAACGTTCACTGCGCTCCATTGATATTAACTCATCTTTTTTTTTTTTTTTGACAACACAATATTTACACATTTTGTACAATTTTACACTCACGTTTTGAAGTTCCGGATAAGGACTGCCATCATCCGTAAATACATAAAAAAACATATATATATATGTATATATATATATTGGAAGAGAGGTAAGACTGACAAGTGCAGCCACAGTGATATTGTGAACGAAAAGGGGAGAGAGTGACTATTAAATTTATTGCATTGAAGTTAGGGGAAAGGAAAGGGAAAGAGCTGGTGAAAAATTGGGCGAAGAGCCGCACCTGCAACTTTCGCCTATCCAGGGCGACGCATTAACCGATTAGACCACCCCGGCCACTGGTTTTGGTAGACTCGATTTTTTCCGACTTTTGTGCGCTGAAGTGAGGCGCTATGTCACTGCCGCAACTCCGAACTAGCAGAGCCTTAAATCAGCAACGTCTGTCATCTACCCAGTTAAGCGAATCCGAAACTAACAATACACAGAGAGCTGATCAAAAATTAAGTCCGCCAAAACCAGTGGCCGGGATGGTCTAATCGGTCAAGACGTTGCCCCAGATAGGCAAAAATTGCGGGTTCGATCCCCACTCCTGGCTCAATCTTTCACCAACTCTTTTTCCCATTCCCTTCATCTAACTTTAATACATAAATTCAATAATCATCCTCTCCCCTCTTTATTCACAATATATACATATATATAGATATATGCGTGAAATGTCTTTCACAAGTTTCATATACAGTTCATATGGTGCACAAAGTGTTCTCACAAGATTTGGTTGTCAGGGAACAAAAAGAAATGCTTTCTACATTTAAAACATGTTTTAATAAAAAAAATCAGTCGGCGACACTTAAACTGCTTACGTGTAGGAATGTGAAAGCACTCCTACAAGCAGCGCGCCGAGTCTTTTCACACGGCGCTCCGGCGGTGACATCACACTCCCCCACTGCGCAGGCGCGACCAAACCCCGCCGGCTTCGAAGCATCCGCGTTGCTGAGCTTTTCTCTGCGTTTTACTTCTTAAGCATGCCTGCTTTGACCCTGAGTGGCCCCGCAGGCTTCCGTGACCAAGCATCTGCGTTGCTGTGCTTTTCTCTGCGCTCTATTTCAGTGGCGCGTGCTTGATGTGGTATTGGTGTAACCATCTTTCGGGCACAACGCCACCACTTTTTCGTGTAATGGGACAAGTAACGCTTTCACCTTAAAAAGAAAACACATCAAATGCATACACAAGTATCTTTGTTCACAACCAGGGTCTCCGGAAGCACATATGGTGTGTGGGGGCAACATCTGGGGGCTCATGTCGCATTGTGTAGTTCACCTCTCTCTCTCTCTGTGTTGGCACCTTCCACACATGGTTTGTCATTCGTGTCAGATTAGCCTGTGGCACCTCGTCGCCTATGGAGTGCAGCTTCAACATGCAACAACAGCCTTACGGGTGGTGGGAAGAGAGAAGAGGAGGGGGCGGGGGGTCGGTCGGAACAGCTTTGAGCATCTTCCACACAAAATAAATCTGTATAGAAGTTTTCCAAATAAACAAGGCCTTCTATTTCCCCAAGAAATCCACAGGCAACTTCTTGCTACTATTGACTGGAATGCCTGCAAAGCATAGACAATGTGTATGAAACAGAAGCTTCTAGATCTTTACACCTTCACGTAACGAAACATTCCATACTGTGCACATACAAATGGACCTATTGAGCAAAGAACATGATACATACTAAGAAGGAAGATCAAAGCCGTTATTTCGTTTGATGAAATATTTACTTGAAGAGTTTGTAGATTTATTAGCAACATGTGTATATGACATGAGATGCAGTCAAGAAAGGAAATTTGTTTCCATGTTTCCCCGCATGCACTCTTCACATCCTTGCTAGACTGCAGATGGATAGAAAATCCTGTGCCTTTACACGAACCACCTGTCTTTCCACCATCACACGTCAGTCGTACTGTGTTGCAGAATAGATCATGATCCACGTTACCTGCAACAAACAAACAGCAGGTCAGTACACGAAAAACAGTTGAGAATATGACAGTAGAAGAGTCTACACAAGTGGCAGCTCTCAAAAGTGCCCACCAGTTTTGTAGGGCAACAAATATTACAGATATCCAAAAAGGTGCAGATTGGCTGATGCGCTAAAATTGTTGCAGGAAGCTTGCAGGGCCGTGCCCTTAAAACGTGGTTAAACTTGCAGCTACAAAAAAAAAAAGATCAGAGGGCAAGGGAGTCACAAAAGTGGCCAAGGGACAAAATTAAAGCACCGCAGAGAGCAGCAAAAAAATGTCTCGCAGCAGGGCTTACATCTTTGTGGATCCTAAGCAAGAAAGTATTTATATACAAGGCAAAAAATAAATGAGGACATGCTTTGAAGCAACCATGTTTGTGAAGCTTTGTGCATGCTAAAGTTGATGCTTCGGCATGTTGATACATACTTGAGAATCCCTTGAAAACTTGAGAAGTACTTTGCACTGTTTTAATTCTCAAGGTTTCAGAAACCATGAAATAATTTTTGCACAGTATTTACAACAATGGCTGGTGTGGACAAAAATCTATGTTGTTGTTTTTTCTACCCCAATGCAATAAAGTCCGAGAGGTTAGCTGCAAGATTGGTAAATTAATAAAACTTTGGTTGGGTCTAGTTGGTTCATATCATTTAAAAGGTTAAAAGTGTGAACTGAAACACAGACGACAAGGACAGGCGCCACTTGCAACTGAATTTATAAAAAAAAAAAAAATTCACTCAGCCAGACTATTGTTTACTATCCTGATAACAGGCCATAAACTGGTAACATATTGGCAGTCTTATCTAAATCTAAATAAGACATTTTCTTATCCAGCAGAAAAATAGACGGCATGCTCACACACTGTTTACCCGCATTCTCGATAAAAAAAATCTTCAACTATTTCTCTTTCCGTCTTTTCACTTGCTCTTTTAACAAACTTTGTTGAATGTAAAAGCGGTATGCAACCGCAACGCTTACAACGCTCCGCGAGATGCCTCCCAGAATTGTTACGTACAGCCGAGCCTGTGCTCCCTCACCCTATCATTAAAACAATGCCACGTTTGTCCTATATCAGTAGTGGCCATGTTTATATTGGACAGACGGGACATTGTCTAAATGATAGGGCAAGGGAGCACAGGCTCGCTGTATGTAACAATTCTGGGGGGCATCTCGTGGAGCATTGTAAGCATTGCAGTTGTGAACCGCTTTTAGATTTAATAAAGTTTGTTAAAAGAGTGAATGAAAAGAGAGAGAAATCGTTGAAGCTTTCATTATCAAGAACGTGGATGAAAAGTGTGTGACCATGCAGTCTATTTTTCTGCTGGATAAAAAAATGTTCTATTCAGATGGCTTCATATACGTCTGCCGATATGTTATCGGTTTATTGCCTTTTATCAGTATGATGAATGACAAACTGACTGAGGGAATGTTTCTTCAATAAAATGCAGTCGTAAGTAGTGCCTGTCCTTGTCGTACATGTTTTTTTTGTTTAGTCAGTGTTCCAGTTCGCGTATTTAACTTGTTTTTTTCTATTTTTTATAACTGCATAAATTGGAAATGTTTGCACAAAATTCTTTTCCTGGCACCATCCAAGGAATCTTTTTCTGCTATAATTCAGAATCCCCTTGTCGCCTATAGATATGTTTTGTGTTTTTGTGATCGGCTGTGGTTGGGGCAGTCAGCTTTGTGTCAATTTTGTTTTCTAGCTTCCACAAATATGCACTTTCTTGGGAATATTGTTGCACTTTCATATGTGCTTGTCAAGGTAAAAAAAAAAAAAGCTCGTTTACAACAACTACTTCTTTCCCTTGTTCTTGGTGAGCAGCCTGTCAGAAAATATCACGAGGTGGGAAACCATTGCATTAATTTTCAACTGTAACGTCAGACTTATCAATGCCCTTTCTAGACACATTTATGTGCTTTGTTGCAACAAACTGCGCACCCCTAAAATAATTCCAAACGGCACGGTATGCGCAAGTATAAATAAATAAATTTCTACAACAGCAATAATCCGTACAGTGTGCGACACAGCTAAACATGACATCGGCACTTTTGTGCAGCTTACCTGTGCAGATCAGCGTCAAACAGAAACCAAGCCTATCCCCCACACAAGCACATTTCATTACAACAGCACTTTTGATCAGCTGTGGATGACAAACACCAAAAAGCAACAATGATGTGTTTCTGCTAACTGTGTCAGGCTCCTTACACACAGCCAGACATTCTCGAAGATGGTCGCGGCATCAAGATGCAGGTCAAGCCAACAAAAGAACATGGATTAACTTAAAGGCCCAAAAGAAACAAAAGGGAGGTGTTCTGCTCACATGACTAAGGTATCGGTGGAGACTCTAGATCACAGTACAAGGGTGCAGTACAGGTAAAGAGAAGCCCACAAGCCCGAGCATGTTGCTGTGCTCCCGAAAAGAGACTTTCAAGAAGCACAGACAGAAGAAAAGAGCGCGGATGCGTTATATGTGGCCACATACCAGGAAACCAGCAAAGGAGGTCATGAAGCCTTCTTTAACGAGCTCCCAGACACCGCCATACTCTTCATCATCCACCTTTTGAAAGGAGCTGGTGTACCCGTACACAAGCACCGTGTTTATGCAGAAGAACCTGTAACGAAAGTAGCCTGCTATTTAAAAGGTTTGCGGCCCAAGTCAGCTTTGTGCACTTTTACCACCATTTCAGACAAATGTTGATATGGGGATTTGCAAGTGTTAAATGCTACAGAAAAAATCTGAAACCATGATTTGCAGGCCAAAACATAAAAGTTATAACTGCGTTTCAGATGGCACAAAATATTTGCAAAGGTAGTTTGGCAAAACGTTGTGTCCGGCTAACATTTTACACAAAAAGTGAGATTTGTAGGGACAACAAAAGTCATGCCCACATTATCACACAGTTCCTAAAAATGTTTCCACAAAACTTAACTGCAGAGTGCTACGTTTGCTAAAAAAGAAATATCAGTTTGCTGCACTCGGCTAAAACGCATTTGCATTCAAGTTGGCATATAGCGAGCGGGCTTACTATGCATATGGCCGCGTGCAGGGCCGACCAAGCAACGCTCGGTCACGGACTTCTAAAAGATTCGCATTTATTCTTACTCGGGATGTAACTTTTATTATTTTGTCCTGCTTTCTTGTTCTCGAAAGTGCCTGTTCATTCTCACGCCAAATGTGCGACGCTCGAACCTTCTGGGCCGAATTTTCGAGATGGTGACACACACTAGATAAGGAGCTGCGCGGGGTTTTGTCGAGTCTGCTCCGCTCTCACTTGCTGTTGCACCGCCAAATCGCAGCCCGCTTTTTTCTGCTGTCTCGACGCTCGGTCTTTATTTTGTTTGGCACAAGTTTGCCCATTAAACTTTCAGTTTGAAGCAGGATTTTTGTCGCTTCTGCTCGTCATTCATGACAAGCTTACCATAGACCGACACGCGGAGCAGCTCTGTTTACCAACACGGACGGAAGGCCGCGCATGCGCGGAAGCTATGTGGGCAAAAGTGGCCCGGCTCTCCGTGTTTTCGCCATTGCGTAGTGTGGCGTGCACTCGTTGACGTTGTAGGGACGCTTCTAGCTTTATTTGTGCATCGTATTTCCTGACAGTGTATGTCGTACGTTATGCACGACTATTTGATCTCGCTAACTGAGCCTGAATGGTAGCGGTATCAAGACACACTGTGCGTGGACGGCGTTGCTAGACTATCCGTACACCGCAAACAAGGCCTGCTGGACTTCCGACGTGAAGTTGCTGCCATCGAAGTCGACGGCTAACGTCGTCATTTATTTAGTTTTTTCGCCAAGCCAGTTGACAGCCGACACGATGCAGGCGTACAAGTCTCTCGAGGCCTACGATTACTTTGAGCCGCTTTCCGGGCTGCTGGCGGGATCAGCAGACTGTGGGTCTGCGGAACCGTACTTATTAATTGATTAAATACACACAGCGTCTTCAAGTCAAGGTATGATATTTTTCCTACCCTCATGACCACAAGGCATGACAAGCAGTAACAGTCTGTCCGTTCTGCAAGCTTGGCGGTAACACGTTACAATTAACGGCCTTACCAGGAACGCGTTACTTTTTTCAGTAATGTAGTAACCTAACCGTTACTTTTTCGGCACAGTAACGGGTAACATACTTACGTTACTATTTCAAGTAACGAGGTTGAGTTACTCGTTACTACTTCCGAAGACTTAAAGAAATTACACTTCAATTTTTTCCGTGTTTTTAGGCATCAAGCCATGTGAATTTTCGAGTTTTCTGCGTTTTTTTTGCGTTCTTTTTTCTTTGCGTTTTTTCTCGTCAGTATTTATGTGAAACCGTAAAAAGAGATAAAGTAATTATGTTCAGTTTCTGCATGAACATAATGTTTCTTGATATATGAGCTTATGCATACCTGCATTGTCAGAACAGTAAAACGTGTTAAATCATAATTTAAAAAGAAACGCAAGGTAACGTGCGCTACTTTTTATCGGTAGCAGTAACGCATTCCTTTTATTTTTAGGTAACGTAGCTCGGTAACGTGTACCTTTTACTGGCAAGTAACGAGTGACGTATTTCGTTACTTTTTTTCGGTAACGCCTACAACACTGCCGTTCTGTCGCCGATCCCCTTCTGCTTGGTAGCACGGGTGTAGCGAGCCTCCAATGAAAGCTTGGCTGGTGCTTTGTGCGCAAACACTGTGGGAACAAAATCCGGGTGGTCTCGATCAAACGACGGTTTCCCTGCACATAAGCAAGCCTTGGGACGGGGATTGAAACAGAAGCCGCACTTGCCTTCAAGAAAGTGCTTGCCGCACAAACGGTCGTTCGCGCGAGGTGACCATTATTTTCGATTCACGGATCTTATCCACCTTCTGTGCCTTTCAGAGTCTGCCGGGAACTTGCGGAAACTCACTCCGCTACTTTTTCTGTACCTTTCGGTGCAATTAACGGCAACACAGCTTTGCGGCATGCTGAAATGCAATGACGTCCATGCGAAACGCTCCCCGTTCCGCCCACATCACCCGGCTCCGGAGCGATTGCAGCGCCACCGCAGCTCCGTGACGTCAAGCCCGCGTGTCGGTCTATATGCATCTAAGTGTCAACCTAAGGTCTTGGTTGTGTAACTAAGAGCCTCGTTATCGGTGCATACCTACATCCCGCATGGCCTGCAAGGTAACATTCAGAGCAAAGTATTGATCCATCTTCAAAATACACATTACGTACCAAGAAATATTACATATGTTTCCTGTATGGATTGTTACCAAAAAGAGACTCGCAATTTCACAAATATGCGTAAAGATCACCTTCCTGACACACAAGGCCATTGTTTGGGAAACGTCAACAGCCAACCGATGACAATGTGGATTTTAAGAAGAAATTGACACACAAAGTAAATGCAGGGCCCTTCAAAACCCTGCATGTGACACTATGGCACCTATAAGGTACAAAGGCACATCCAAGATACAAGCACAGGCAACTGTGGAAAGGAGAATGCACTGGAAATGGAAAAGGGGCATCCACATAAGAAGTAAACTGAACTCAACGCATCTACCACATTTTCTGATGTTAAGGTGAATTCTTTTCCCAAAATTTCCCGCGGTTCATTTTGAACAATGATGCGACTTTTCAGGGACTTTTCTTTTCGTAAGTGTAGACCTCAACTATGCAAGATGCAGGCCATATAGACATTTACGACAAAGGAAGAACGGCAAAGCACCCCCCAATGACCTGGGGTGGGAATTAGACCAGAAAATACGACCACTCTTTTTTTATTTCATTTTAGAACATACACTTGGTAAAACTAGACCCAAACTGCCCCATGGGCTACTACGCTTTGCGCCATGCCATGGGATGGATCGGTCCACCTTCTGAGAGACAGAGCACCAAAGCAGAGCGTGATATTGTCTTTGTATGGCTCAAAATAATCTATCCATTTCATAAAGGGTGATAGCCTACAAATTATTCGCATATGCATCCCACTTCCATACAAAATGCAGCAGTAAGGTTTCACACCCTTCCCACACTTTGCAAGGGGTGCATTGCCTTCCCTTATTTGTTACAAAGGAGGGAAAGGGCACAACCCTCTTCCGCGTCCCACATTTATATTGAAGTGGGACGCTCATGGAAATAATTTGTGCATCTTTTTACTTTCTAAGTAGATAGATCATGTCGGAGTCACAAAGAGACCAAGCCAGAAACCACTTTAGGGCACCTTTACAGTGAAGATTCCTCAGATGCAATGAAGGCTTATGCTGCATTAATGATGAAGAGATGGGAATGCCAACAAAAGGCAATTATTCAAATGAGCACGATGCACCAATCATGCATGAGAAATGCTCTTCACTTTGATTCAAATCTATCTTGGTAGAAACAAAAAAAAAAAGCAATGCAGCAGGCATTATCTTGAGCCCGTGAAACCTTTATCAATATTTTCTACCTTCCACCCGAAGCTGAGCAGTGAAACAACCCCCCTAGCCTCTCTCCCACTGCGTGGCACCGAGCGCAGCGCCCCATGTAAAAGTTTCTACGCTCTGGACACCTGCTCCATTGAGGTAACTCATAGTTTTACTGGCTGTATCATGGGTAAAAGAAAAAAATGGAGCGGCAAGCTCAAGGGAGCTTAAGAAAGCATTACGCCGTGCTACGTCACTGTGCAGCCCCTCCATCGTCATGTCCCCAGTTAGTTAATATGTCAGTCAGCATCTGAAATACACCTGCCCCTAGGTAAGCTAGAAAAACAGGAAGCCAAAACTTACAATGCAATACCGATGAAGCCCTTGAGAGGAACAAGACCCCACACCAGGCCAAGTAGGATGCCAAGTATTTGTCTTGACCAGTACAAAACGTCCAAAAACTCGTCCTGCAAAAAAAAAAAAAAAAAAAAAAAAAACAGTATGTGGAGGCCCTTGTGAAGGGTCTAAATGGCAGTTGGCAGTCAACCACTTTGTGGATGAACTGTACTCAAAATCTTCGTGGAAAAGTGTACACGTGGTAGCTACATAATAATCACATGCGCTCTCAAGAGAAATGATACAGATAGGTTTTCTATTGGTCATTCTCCGAGTGTGAAAATACATTAATGGTCTCACTGTCTAAAGCTAAAAACTGGTCATACCAAAGTGCTTTTACATCAATTTTCATTATGTTTCGCCATCAGCCTTTTGCGTGCTTCCATGCATTTTTTTTTTTCTTTTCAACTGCAATATCTTTGCAGTTGCTTTATCGGTAGCCACAATCATACGCCTTGCTCTATGCATCAAATAGAAAGTAGAACAAGCTTATTCGCACCGCATAACTAAGTGGGAACCAAGACGACAAAAATCTCCCCAATAAGCAGAGACGACCACGACTTGACAAGCCTGTAAAAATAACAAATAAACCAGAGAAAAGAAGAAAAAAAGACGGTCGGTGCTCATTAACCGTAAGGGAACATCTTGTAATGTAACGTTTGTATAAACTCTTCCAGAGGACTAGAACCAGGACTGGCGTGAACTGTGCACGGCGTGCAAATTATCTGACCTAACGAAAAAGCGCTTTGTACCTGCACACAATCGCTTACGAATAATTCTCACTTCACCCAATGGTGAGGTCCCCTGCACGTAAGCTACGCGGTGTACCGATTTAATAGCACTGCGACGGGACCCAGACGCTCGAGTCCACTTCCGACTGTGCGCCACGAATTGCGCATCGGTACATGATCCACGTCCTCCTTCGCACATGGGTCTGCAACTCTGAGGACTGTGCTCCTAACCTTGTCCGGCCATTCAGAGCTTGGCGTAAACGCTCTCGTCCACACCGAGGATAACGATCCTTTGGCATGGCCATTTTTCTCTTGTTTCCGTTTCTGGTTCATCTTGTGCTGACTATACACTCTACAAATTGCTGGGGAAAAAAACTGAGTACAGAAAACCACCAGTCCAGTTGTTGAACGGCACAAAAGCACACCTAACTCCCCTAACACAGCAAACGAAATCGCCTAACACGCTAGCTCTTCACACGCCATCTTGAACTGGCCTTCCCTCTTTCGGGCGTTTCTTTTGGAGCAATTCTTGATAATAGAAGGTTAAATGCATATTTTCACCTTAAAAAAATTTATATTCCAAATTTTATATCTAAAACGTTGCACATGTTTCTAGAGTATTTTTAATGAAGTATTGCTCACATAATTTTAATATAAAATGATGGACGTATACTGTATAAACGGCTGTGTATAAATAAGTGCTGTACCCTTTATAATATGCGGTAACTTGCGCCACCTACCCTAAGAAATAAAAGTAAAATTTATCTCCACATTTTTTTTTTTTTTTTTTTTATTGCCAGGCGTGGGACATAGACAAGATTATAACTTTATGGTGTGGGCCATCTGGGTTATCGTTAGGATGACCCCAACACCGGGCCGACTAAGAAACAGGGAGGGAGTCCCAGATGTTCCTCTGTCTCGTCTGCGGACTTCATTCAATTTTCCCTGAATAATTTCCACCAATCTTCTAACCTCCCTTTTGTGACTATAACCCTTTCCTCTTCCATTTTTTCATATTCGCCACCAAAACCCAGCGCCCCCGATAGATCCGTTTCCCCTTCAGGGAGGGCGGGGCGAAGCCCGTGCACTTTAAAACCAAATGTTCAGGCGTCTCACTCTCACTATGGTTCTCGCCTCGAACAGCAAAGAACTTCCACGTGAATTATCAAACACCTTTTCCTTTCTTATCTTCTGTTCTTGTGACCTGTACATTGTTGAAGCTGATTTTGCTTGCATTCTTCCTTCCCACATTTTCCTGCTGCTTGCACTCCATTTTTTCACTGAACTGGTCTGCCCAGCCCAGTCACTCGTGTACAGGTACTTAAATATTTAAATGTTAGCTTTCGGGTTCAGTTTGAGGAGTTTGAGAGTAAGAATGCAATTTTAGGGTGGATGGATGGTAATGGCTATACCCTTTGTAACGGGCGGCAGCTTGCGCGGCCTAGCCTAACATTTCGTCATCCTTTTTTTTAATCTGTATTAATTTTGTTATAACAGACTCCCCCCCCCCCCCCCCCCCCCCCCTCCCCTCCCCCTAGAATCACGTACTGATCTCTGACTATTGCTGGATTGCGCATCCCCGCTCCGCGAGTGCGGCCACCGGACGGTCATCTTGCATCTCGAAAAAATCGCGTTGTTGGAGCGTTGCGGAGGCTGGCGGCAGCGTGCTGGAGACAAGTTTTCTACTCGTTCGTCGTCATTTGCGGTAGAGGTTCTTTAAAATCCTGTGAAAGCCGTGAGACTTGCTGTTGAGAACATTTGAAAATTTTTACGGAAGCGCATTGTCGCAGGAAAAGGGACAACTTGTCAAATTGAAGTTTTGCCGGTCTCGCGGCGATCAAAGCTTCAATGGCATGCTGAAGCGCTGCATCTCCGTACCTTCGCACACTTCGATACCGATCACATGAATCGGCGCCACGGCAAAGTTTTGAAACTGTGTCGCGCATAGATGTCTTTGCATCAGGTATCGGCCAGGGGGTTCTGGATCGTTCAGGTGTTCTGGCGAGTTGCTATCAATAAAAGGGGGGGGGGGGGGGGGGGGGGGGGGGGCGGGAACAATCTGTACGGTTGCCCTTCTGCGCTATTAACCATGGCTATGTTCCAAATCTATTCTAATGGATCACATGGCACCACAAATAGAGCAACGCTGTGGAGCAAGAAGGTTTCGAAGACTACAAGACGGCGAGAATGAAAATTTTTAAAGTGCAGCCTATACAGTTGTGTGCAATCTGTTGACCAAACACAATTAGGCGAGCCATGCTCAAACGTCAAGTGCAATAAAGTAGGTTGATAATGAGCCAGCACTGATCGGTGATGCGGAGCTGTTGTAGCGGTATTCTGTAAACCGTCTAACGACGAAAAAAAGACATACCTTCCCCCCTCTTCCGTCGCCACTGGACGCTGGATGAAGCTCGTTTCTAGACCGCGAGTGCTGCAAGTTACAAATACAGTTTTCACAGTAAAGTAAAACGCTGATCCAGAGGCACATATGGCTTCACACACATTGCACTCGCACATCCACACGGTGTAAATTTTTGATCGGTATCCAAGCCTGAGAAGCAGGGACGTAGCCGGGGCGAAGGGGGGTGGGGGGGCGAAGGGGGGTGGGGGGGGGGGGGGGGGGTTTATGGGGCTTCAGCTTTCGCCCCAGAAATCCAGCTGACTCTATAATATACACATGCATTTTTACCACCCTCCCCCTCTCAAGTCAAAGACATCCCAGCCACCTCAGCACCTCCCGAAAAAAATTCCTGGCTACGCCACTAATGCAAAGACACAGCGACGCAGCGCTTTGGCATGCTAAGAAAGCTTTGATCACGCTGCGAGACCGGCGAAACTTGCTTTCGACAAGTTGTGCCTTTTTCCTGCGGCCAATGCGCTTCCGTAACAATTTCCAAGTGTTCTCAACGGCAAGTCTCACGGCTTACACAAGGTTTTATAGAACTTCTTCGGCGAATGACGACGAACGAGTAGAAAATGTGTCTTCAGCAAGCTCCTGCCAGCCTCCGCAATGCTCCAAAAACATTATTTTTCAAGATGCAAAATGGCCGTCCGGTGGCCGCACTCGTGCTGCAGCCACCAAGCAGGGATGCGCGATTTAACACTTGTCATAGAGATCAGTGGTTAGAATGCTCAGCTATACAACTACATAGTACAGATGGAAGAGGTGGTCAATATCTTAGTTGAAAGAAAATCTCCGCAGAGGACGAACAGACTCGAAGCGCCTCATCGCGGCATAATGCCGCGTTATGTATTGCTCCTGGTCCACAAGTTCCCAAAATGCAACGCGCGCAACAACGGATTTATAAAAATCGTCTAATAATATGTAAAAAAAAAATTAGTTATTTTTTAATGAAAAAATAAACTACTCATTGTACACCCAAATGTAGCGCTAGCGGTTCGATCCAGATGCCAAAGTTTCAGCACTATCAGTTATCTTATTCGAAAGTTATAAGTGATTTGTCTGAAAATTTCAATCGGAAAATCGGGTCCATTTTCATCCATTTTCGATAAGTTGAGAGCTCAAGTCGGCCACCATTTTCCCATTGAAAATTTCAGACAAATCACTTATCTGGTTTGGACCGCTAGCACTACATTTGGGCAGAAAATGCGCGTTAGTTGTTTTGTTTTTTGTTGTAATAAACAAAACCCTGCTTTATTTTTGATTTAGTATGTGTGTGTGTGTGTGGGGGGGGGGGGGGGGGGGGGGGGGGGGGGGAACACCATGTACACTTTAGCATGACTGTTTCATTCAACATGCAAAAAAATAAAAAAAATAAAAAGTTTGCCTCAAGTCAGCTCTTGGAGCGCAGACATCGCTCGATGACTGGGTGGACAACCTGCATATTGTGCTGCTTGAAACCAGCTTGAGCAAGGATGTTTTGGCGCGACTTCAGCTGTAGGAATGCATAGAAGTTTGAGCAATGTTACATTGCACAAACGTCTTTTTATATTTGCTTAACTTGTTCTACCCCCCCCTACCACAACTTCCAATGGGAGGTTGGCAGTACGTATAAGTAAAATAATGTTTGAGAAAGGAAAAACAAATGTGCAATTATCTGCATAGCACTTGGTACATTCAAAGTCCATGTTTTCAACATTCATTGGGACTAGTTTCACAAGTCCAAATTCCTTTTAAATTTAGTGCCTACATCATTGTGCACATCAAAATCCCCATATTTCATAAATTAAATTAAATTCTGTTAATTAACTGCCTCCAGCAAGAGTCAGTGAATAACAAACAAAAAAAAAAAAAAAACATGAAAAAAAAAATATTTTTTTTTGCTTGTTTTTAAGCACAGCTTCCCCAATGGTGCTTTCTCTGCAACAAACCCATGTCATGCTGTGGCTGGGATTCAAACCCAACAACTGCAGATCTGTAAACCGACGCTTTGCATCCGAGCCACCTTTTCTATTTCGCTTGCCCAAGATTTCAACAACTGTGGCTTTGCAAGTCGAAAGATGTCACTCTGTACTTAAAAAATGACATGCCCAAAATGGACACATTTTTCAGACACTTGTTCACCTGATGCAATCGGCAAAAATAAAATGAGCAGTTTTTCTTTATTAAAATGCCAAAAACAAAGGTATAAGGTTAACATACTGTATTTACAAAAGGCAGCTATGATACACCAGAGGACATGCCCCTGAAACATTAATGCATTATGTACAGCACTGTCAAAATGCTACTTTCAGGATGTGTACAATGCATTCAGCAGATGCAAAGTAGCAAGGTTCAAATATTGTCACAACAGTAACGTTGCACCATTGCATTCACTCATAATATATATACTATATATGTACATATATATACATTTTCTTCAATCAAATCAACTCTATTTCATGTTGAAAATTACCCGAGACATTCGTTTTCCCGTGTCCTTTTTCTTCTACCAAGTTTCCCATTCTTTACCACAGTCTTGGGTAATTTTAAACATGATCAACATCCACCAGCTCGCCTGCACCCATTTTCGTTCAACTCTATTTATTCTTCCCTCATTCAAAGCTCTAGAAAAATGCTTACTTGCTAAGAAATGCTTTCAACTGTAACCAACCATTATTCAAACACCTTAAATGTGGCAATGCAGTGTGCCATGCTGTACCTTCCCTTTGCACATGAATATTCAGCCTTGGCTGAAACAAATTATATTTTGGTTTCAGCTCTTCCCTTCATGCACAAACAAAACTGTTTCTCTGTCAGCAAACTGATTCATGTGACAAATGCAGACAAACTTCGACACTCCACACAGCATGACTAAAAGGAATTTGACAGCTACAACAGTAACGCTGGGATTTTTTTTTTTTTTGTGGGATGGGTTTGACAGAACAGGAACACATTTTTTTTATTTTTTATCTGTGGTGTTGTCTTAGCCAAAACCACATCGAATACAGCCAGCCATAAAATTTTCATCCCTGATTCCAGACACCCCAATTCAGGCTGTGCTTGCAACTTTCACCTCCAGTGCTCAAACCATAGGTGCAAGCAACAAAAAGGGTTCCTGGACTAAGCTATCTCGAGATTATTCAGTTGGGCCATGCACATGACAGTCCCCACGACATGCCTACAGTCGGGAATGTTGACACTTGTGGAGGCGTCCTTTAGTAGGGGCTGCATACAGATTTGTACAAATGGATATTTCAAAATCTTCACCCTCAATGGGCAGAACGGAGCACATAATCATACTCTCAGGATTTAAAAAGCTCTTCTGCACGAATGTTTCTTGCATAACAAGGAAGATTGCAAGACAAATCAATTTGTCCATCAGATGGTCTTTTTTTTTTCTTTTCGATATATCGGTTATTACGAGATTTCAGCCGAATGAAGTTGTTTGCAACTTATTGAACAAAGGTGCCTTACATTTACTACGACAAAAAAAATATTCCATTAACATGATGCAGTTTATTTATCATCTTAGTCCTACGTACAGGCACTGTACAACTCAACTAGGTGGTTTAACCGTATTACAATGATTCATTTCCAGCCAGACTTCTTTGTAAAGAGTCTGTACGTTTCTCCAAGCACTCTGCCAGCCTCAAAGCTTCACGTGTAGCTTGCCAACCAAGTGCAAGCACTTGTTGCTACAGACATCCACAGAGGAAAAACGTAAGAGCGACTCCAAACCACAATGCCCGTCGGTAAAAAAAAAACTCTTATTGAAAGGCCGTCGCCAACAGGCACGGCATGAACAAACCCCGCTCTCTGAAAGAAAAAAACAAACCCGGAGGAGTGAGCTGCACAGTCATGAATGGCGCTGGATGTCGTGACTAGGTCGATCAGGCAGCGTCCCCTGCTTCGAGCAGCTGAGCGGTGCCGGGTCCATCCAGGTGCAGCAGTCTTCTCCAAAGCCACTGGGTGGCTCGCCAGTGGTGCTGGGTGCCGAAGCAAACTCCTCGCAAATCCTCTCACCACTGTCTTCTCAATGATGGTACGGCTCCAGGTACACCTGCATCATGCAAGAAAAGCTTTGCTTACGATTGTGGCAGCCCAGCACAAAGTGCAGTACTGAAAAAAGTACCAACGGTGCTTTACGGCAGAACACAACCCATTCATCCGTTAAGCCTTGTCCGACGTCTCGCAGGTACTAAATGGGAAGCGCTGGGAAAGCTGCTCCATGGCCGACTCACTCGAAGCAACGAGCATGAAATGAGCAGGGAAGTTAGCCTATTTCTATGATGGCTGCAGGCTAGTCCGGAGATAAGCCACAAAGGACGGGGTCAGTGCATACAGCACAGAAATCGTGTTGGTCCCATGACAACAAGACAGACATGATCTCAGTGCAGTTCAGCGATTTCTCGAGTGGGTATGTGTGCTTTCTAGTGGTCCTATGTGGTTCAAGCCTACAGCAAAATGACACATCTTTCACGCAAATAACCGGGCTGCTTTAAAGGGACACTGACAGGGTATTTATGCTCGCTAAGGTTTTTATTTGTACATGACATGACCCGAAACACAATTTGCGGCTCAAAAGTCTTTTTTTTTTTTTTCCTCCCGAAAATTGTTGATTGAGAACTGACCGGTTTGAATTGTGCTCACTCTCTTCTCTATGGTCACGTGCTGTTCAGACACACATACGAAGTATAATCAAAGCTGCGGGTCATCGAAGGCATACACTCGATATTAGAAATGGAAAAAAATATGAAACCCATTTTTGTGGCTTCTAAATGCTTCAAATACGTTGATTGAAAACAAAAAGTTGCATGGAGTACCGGAAGTACATGTACTGCCGAGACCGGTTATAACTAGGGTTCGGAGTTTTCGGTTCAAACCGATAAAAGTATGCTGAATTCATTTTCCGAATTTCGGTTTTAACCGAAAAAGGTCAGTTTGCAGGTTCGGCGTTTTCGGTTTAAACCGATAAAAGTATGTCTAATCCATTTTCTAAAATTCGGTTTTAACCAAAAAAGGTCAGTGTTTCAGGGCCGCGTCGAGGCGGGTGGGGGAAGAGAGGGGGAGAGAGAAAGAGAGAGGGCTTTGCAAGGTTCGACATTGTGTGACATCTTCGTGATTGCCCCCTTCCAAGGTTCAACGTGCAACCAGAGAGGTCTTGGATTGGCCTTTGAGGGACATCTGTGTCCTTTCTGTGATCGGGCTTAGTGTGTCAAGTTCCCGGTCCTAAAAAAAAAAGAAAAAAAAAGAAAAGTTCGGATGTGGGCTAGTACAAGGTTTTTTGCTTTATGCGCTTCAAAGGACACCAAGGAAATCCGTTAATACCTTTCTTAACACCTCTCTCAAACTTCCCTGTGGTTAAAAACATATATACAATGGATATTTTTTTTTGCCTTTCCGCTGGTTTTTGTACGGTCATCTGTACGCCCGTCTGACAGGGGTATGATACCCCTGTTAGACGGGCGCGTTAAATGACATTTAAGCAAAATGACATTACAGCTCGGCCAATCCGCGTGTTTAATACGCCACGCTGCGCGTGCACCCGCCACGTGTAGAACCAGTATCACGAGCTGATTCGCCGAGCGGTGAATGACATTCAATCAAAATGACACTTACTTTCCCGTCTGACAGGGGTATCAGACGGTCACGTCGTCAGAATGGAAAGGAAAAAGAAGCGCACTGAAGATTACGCCCGCGAATTCCGCGATCTTCAGGTGTATCCTGACAGAAGTTGTAGCTAAAACCACGTATGTATATGTGCTGTTATTTTTTGAGTGATCACAAATATCACAGCTACAAGGATCATCTGATCTGGTGTCCAATGTTGTTTCTTTCATATTCACCAAAATAAACCGGTGAACTTTTTTGGGAAATATACACCGAAAAAAAAAAAAAAAAAAAAAAAAAAAGAATTTTAAAATAAACACCGAAAAAAGTACGCCGAATTTTGTAAAAATAAAAACCGAAAGCGCGGAACCCTAGTTATAACGAAGTCGGTTATAACGAAATAGCAGCTACAGTGAAGCGATTACGATTTCCCATTCCCTTTTGCACTTCGTTAACCGAAGTCGGTTATAACGAAAGAGCGGATGTAGCGAAGTGATTTCCGATTCCCGTTGACTTCGTTATAACCAGTCTCAACAGTACTGCGTAATTCTCAACATGGCGTCGTATCGCAGGAACAGGCGCTGGCGGGTGTCGCGGGCTGGACGGCTGGACAAAGCGGACTAAGTGATGGCGGTGGACAATGGGCATGGGACCTCCACTGCAGCAGAACTGTCGTTTGCGGTACCGGCGAATCTGTCTAGCTTCGAAAGAGAAATCGTTTACCCATCAAAACAATTAGAATTTATCCCGTACGACACGCCCGACCACCAAGCTGATTCGCATGAAGACGTCGCCGAGTCATCGCCCCTTCTCTTGACTGAAGACATTGCTTGTCTTACGAACATGAATTGGTAAGAGCCTGAAACACACGCAAATGTCAAGCACGAAGTGCGCATTGGGCGTTGAATAAGCATGCATACATTTTCTTTACTAGGTGCGAATGTGACCAATGCGTGGTGCTACCCGACTTCAAGCCTGGGGAGTGCCTTTGCTGCAGGGAAATTGGCAGCAAACTTTCTGATCTCCAGTCGACTAGCTGCATTACTGCGAACGAGGAGTTCCCCCTCGTGTGCTTGAACATTACAATGTTAAAACTGTCGTCTGCTTCGCACAACCGGAAAAACAAAAGAAAAAAAAAAAGTGGTCGGGTGTAGTTACGTGATTTCCGGCAACTCGCCTCCTCTACCATTCTCCCTCCTTCCCAGACCACATGCCTCGGCCATTGCCTCTGTGCTCATGTTTCGGTTTCAAACAGTTGAGTTTTTTGGCTCTATTAAAAATATATTTGACTCTGTAGCAAAATATTGTGACACCATATTAAATCGCCTGGCCAAAAACTAAAAAAAAAAAAAAAAAATTTCGAGGGTGTCAAGGTGACTTTTACATGACCATTTTGTGAACCTCACAGTGGGCAGAACAAGAAAGGTCAGCAAGCCGGGGCATTGTCTGTACTGAGACTCGAGTCAGGAATCGACCAGCAAAGCACAGAAAAACGACACCAGGTGGAGTCCCACCTTACCGGTCACGCAGCCTAGCCACTTTCGAGGGCCCTCCAGTGTCCCAGCAGCTCTCCTGGATCAAGTGAGCCGCCATTCATGGCATAGCGTATCGTCCAAAGCCGTGCCGTCCGCTCAAAGCCGGGCCGATCCTCTTGGTAAAGCCGGCCCACCTCGGGCTCCATGCACACGTGACAGTAGGGGTCAGTTAATAGTGACTGGATACTGATCAGCACCTGGGAACAGACACGCCAGGGCCGTCAAGCCCCAGAAGGTCGTAGCACAGGACAAGCATTGACACTGCAAACAAAATATATGCACCGACAGTGTTGTAGCTACCAGCCCAAACCCTCCACATGAGTAAGAAAGTAAGTACTGCCCAATAAAGTTAGATGACCACAAATAGAAAAGACCCAAATGCCGGTCGAAATGCCAACTCAGATAGCCGACTGGCTGGGTCATGCTCCTCTATAGTTGCTTCAATAATGTGTCGTTTTTAACCCTTATGGAGGGTTAAAATACGTGTTTGAAAGTTCCTGCCTAAACGCAAAGCCACACGCACAGTGGGAGGTGCTGCTATCTGTTATGTCCTTGGGGAACTACCGTATAGTTGTATTTGCACCGTGTTTCACCTTGCTGGGGCTTTTTATAGTTCCAATATTGGACACTCCATATTGGACACTCCAAGAATGCGATAGGCTCGAGATGGTCACCTCATGTGTTGGATGCTCTGGCGGTACAGACAAACGCCTTTATAACCAATGCCTTTGGTGCAAAAACAAAGTAAAATAAAGTCCCGGCCAATCTCCTATGAATTCAATGAGTTTCTCTGACTACTGCAACGAATTCCTGCTTAATCAAGTAATTGTGCGGCCACACAAGGCAAAAATTGACCGGTATTATGAATATTCTGGGTGAAAAGTAATCGATTTTACGTCAAGTGACGCGCATGGAGAACAGAAATACTGCAGCAGCAGCAACAGCTGACGCCACCGCCGCGCCACACACTCTCGGTTTTGGGTCCAAAATATTTGTTAGAGCGCAACCTTGCGTCTAGATGGTGCTACATGACTATGTTTCTGCATAGAAAGCCTGTACACAGCAACGTACCTAGTCACACAGCCCTATCTAGGCACAAGGTTGCACACTAACAAATTGTTTGGACCCAAAACCGAGAATTCGCGACGCAGCGGATGCGGCACCGCAAATTGAATCAATGGTGCTCATACCATTGACTGAGTATGCGCAAGCAACACACCGCTGACTCCACTCCAAGATGAGTTTTTTTTTAGATGCTCCGTTCGGGCAATGTGTGCACTCGTTTTCTTAATTTGGATGTACCTTAATATGTATCCCAATATCCCATCTAATATCAAGAGCAAATCAGATGAAAATAAGGAGTGGGCTAACTTTCGGTGTGCAGTCAAGAAATGTTTTAACCCTTTGCGGTCAGATACCCTGACCAACTTAATGGTCATTACGGTCAGGAACTATTTTGGACGCATGGGCCCCGGAAAAGTAAAATTATTTCGGCGAACAAAGACAACATCTCACACCGAACGTAAGGACAAGAAAGTCCAGGAGATTGTTTGTCTACAAACTCCGGAACGATATAATAAGAAACAGTGCAAAAGGGACAGGACACAAAGTAGAAGAAGGACACAGGACATACGCTGACTAACAACCAAAGGTTTACTAGAACTTCCACGCGCGCACAGTGGCCCGCGCAAGCACAAGCTCTTCCTTCTCTTTCAAAAAAGATAAATGCTAATAAAGAAAGAAACAGCGGCACTAGAAGGACGTAGCAAAACGCGTGACCAGAGTAAATATTAAAAAATATTAAAATTCTGACAGCGGCATGAGAAAACAATAAGATCATGCGCTGCGTACCACTCCAAGTTCACACCACGTACACACCGCGTTCAGGACACAAATTAGACCTTTACAGCTCGCGTGTACAGTATACTAAGGGTGGTCACATTTGAGAAATTGTAATTCCCTGTTGGTCAGATGCACTGACGCGACACTAATGCAGTGATCTGGTCCACAGGCAAGTAGTATACGCGCCGCTTCCATGATTTCTCGCTCCAACTTGCCCCTCATGCGTCCCACCACCTTTGTGTTGTCCAGCGCAGGAGAACGAACACCCACAATCCCTGTAGTGTATAGGTAGATGGGAATCGTGACCACTGCCGAGCGAAGCCGCGTGCTCACGCAGCCTATCGTTCAAACAGCGACCAGTCTGTCCCAAGTATAGACTCTACCACAGCTGAGAGGGATCTCGTAGACGACTTCCTTAACACAAGGCACAAGCTGCTTGGCATGCCTCGTGTCACAGGGGCCGTTCCTAGGTTCGGTCCCGCCTCACATTGCGCAGAGTTTCGATAGTTTGCAGGGGGCTGTGAAGACAACGTCAACGTTGAATTTTGCTCTAACACGTTTCAGATTGTGAGAGATCCTGTGAACGTAGGGTAGCACTTCAAACTTCTTTGGCCTTTTCCTAGTTTCCGTGTCAGGACTTTTCATCTTCGTAAGCAGGGATTCGGCCACCAGAAAAGGAGGGAAACCCGAGAGTTCAAGGCGATGTAGCTGAAGGTCAAAGCTTTCGCGTACGGCATGGGGACAGGACTTTCGTAAAGCCGAGCGGAGGCATAAGTTAGCGATACCCCTTTTGACTAATTTAGAGCGCGCCGAGTCGAATGGTAAAATTGCGTTTTCGGTTTGCAAACCAAAAAGGCAATATTACCTAGCAGACTCAGCCACCATTCCCCCTTTTCCGAGTCTATTGTCAATGTACAAAACCTCGTTTCTGATGTCGCTCATACTACATTTGGCGCTATATAAACACCTCAGACGTCCACGCAGGTACGTCAATATGCAAAAGCACCAATTCGGTTTCGCGGCATCGATATTTCGCGCTTGACTACTACAGTGAAGTTCCCTGTACAGTCAAATCTCGTTAATTCATACTCGAGAGGGACCGAAAATTTGTGTGAATAAAGCATAACTTGAATTACCGGGAGCTTCCTCCCATAGAGACAGATAGGATAGGACCAGACTTGTACAGTACGCATTCCAAGTAATCAAATTACTTGTAATCGATTACTTTTTGGAGTAATTTTGTAATCAGTTGATTCCTTTTATTAGGCAGTAATCACAAGAGTAATCTGATTACTTTTTAAAGTAATAAAATTACTTGTAACCGTTACAATTTTTCCACGCGACCCGACCCGACCCGACCCCCCCCCCCCCCCCCCCCCCCGGCACACGCCTTTTCTTTATGAAATGGCAAAAATAATTTTTTTTTTTTTCGAACGGAAAAAATAAAGATTTTTGCGGAGCTGTAGGAAACGAGGTCAATCTCTTTCTATGTACAGTTTCTGTGGAATGTCCGTTTTTCTTTTTTCCGAGCTGTGACTGGGAGTGGGAAGCCACAGTGCGTGACAAAGGCCATTCAGGGCGAAGTTTGAGGGAGCAGAATGTAGCTTTGTGAGTCCTTCGTTCAAACTAGCCCCCTCACGCACCCACACACAGAAATAAAAAAATAAAAAGATCCTGCTTAGGGTACCTACTCGCAGCCTGTAGGAGAACCAGAACCGAAGAATGCCTAAAGTGGATGCAAAATATAACAAAGGCAGTTGAAATATTTCCCCATTTCCCCTACGTGGTCATTGTGGCAAAGAATGTTTTGAGTTGAGAAGTGGTGGGGGCGATCTCTTCCGCTAATGAATACTACATATGATCCGTTTCACATCCTGGAGCTGCTGCTCCTTTGTATAACATGCAAGCTCATCCACATGTGAATAATAAAATGAGCGACGCAAACTTTGAGCGACAACACTTGCTCAAGCTTAACAAAATCTAGAACCCCCTCCGCTTATCCCCCCCCCCCCCCCCCCCCCCCCCACACACACACTGGCGAACGCCCAAATCATTAAATGTCTTGAAACGAATTCAATGCTTTTGTCCGCATTGTGAAGGTGCAATGACTACGAAGAGGGAGCCAGTTTTTCTTGGTTCCCGGACATTTCATCGAATGCCGTTTCGTCGAACGCCGTTTCATCGAAAAAATGGACGTTTCATCGAACGCCGTTTTATCGAATCGCTGACGGCCGTTTCATCGAATGTCTTTTATATAAGAAGTGTGAAAGATGCTCTTTTATGCACGGATAGAGTGCATTTTCGTGTCATTCACCCATTTCATCGTCAGGTTTTTTAATGTCCAAACTTGTAGCTGTTACAATTTATTTTGATGCAAGTGACCCATGAGGATATTTGTATCGATCTTTATGTTTGTTTCGCATATTGTGCTTATCTGTTCACCCCCTCTGTATTACCCGGTGGGCCTTGAGGGTGTTGTAACAAGTAAATAAAAAGTCGCACTGCCGGTAAGAGCGCACTCCAACTCATCGAGGCCAGAAGGCGACTTAGGTTTTGCGCAGGCACAACAACTTTAGCCCTGTGAGCTAAGGCCCTTACTGTGAGCCTCCTAGCCTCTCATGTCTTTCTATAAATACTTTTTTACTGCCCGAAGCTTGCATTAGCTAAAGCTGAAGTGCTATTTATGAAACTACAATGAAACATTCTTTTTTTTTTTTTTGTTTTTTTAGTTCTAAGACTTAATGAAGTCAAAAGTAAGTATGTCTCTTCAGATTTTATTTGAAAACTTTCGGGGGTTCATGTGTTCGTTCGACAGCCATTCACCGTTTCAAATGATGAGCAATTGCTCTCAAAAAGTCCCCCCCAGCCATGCTCCGTCGGTTCTCATAAAAAAGGCGGACCTTCTCATCCTATGGCCTTCTTCTGGCGAGGAGGCTCTTGGGAACTCAACATCGCTTCCAGCTTGCCTTCCGTCAGTTGATGTTCTGCGGCGATGCAAGTAAAAAACTTCCAGAACCTGGGATGGGCACCTCCGACCAGCTTCAGGAAGCGGGAATGCCACACTGGCGTTCGATAAGACGGCATTCGATAAAACGGCGTTCGATGAAACGGCTGTAGTGCAAATTGAAGCGCTGGCTCTTCCGATTCAGACTTCTAATGCTTCTCGGAAGTCAGACAATGAGAGCTCTCTATTGAATGGAGAAGCTCTGTAAAGCAACTACGGTTTTGGGGTCTGAGACCACCAAAATGTCGGAGAAGTGGACGTTCCAAAATGAAACCAAATGGAAGAAAGGCGACAACTTTACTCTCTCAATATATCTATTCAATGCTTCTCAATCTGGACAGCTAGCAAGCACTGTATTTGCTCCCATTCAATAAGTAAAAGAAAAAATGTGCATTGACTTACTTTTTGAACTATTCCTTTGGAAAAGAACCAAACCACCAACCAGTGTAACAAGTCTCAAAAAAAATGTGAAAGGATTGGTAAGCAACATTTCTGGGTGCATTACTGGCCAACGGCACACACAATAGCATAATATCTATGTCCCCTTTGTACCTAGTGGCAGGGATGGCTAAAGGAATTTGAAGCCTGGGGAACCCCTTAGGCAGAGCCGTATATTGGGAGAGTCTGGCCAGTAGATGTGGCGACGAAGGCACTGGAGAGGAGAAAAGTGAAGGAAAGGGGGGAGAGCGCCAATGGAGTGAGAGAAAAAGGAGGGAGCAAAGAGGGAAAGACCGCCATTTTGACGCAACACACTCTCGGCGCTGAACACTGTTGAGGCTATGCGTCGTCTGCAACAGGTCGAATTCTTTTTCGCCTGAATAAAAGTTTGTGGCCAAATGTCGAGAAAACTTCATTCATTAGCTCATTTTTAACCCACCGAGGAATAACACTGCTATTCATGTCGTATTACACCTGAGACTGCGGTGGAAGAAATCGGAAGAACTTTCAGTAGAAGGAACAGACACAGAGAACGTCTCAAACTCAGCTAACTGGTTTATTTCTCAAACAGTCTTTAGGTACCCACGGAACTTTTTCCCAACCACACTCTACAGATAAACTCCTTTGTTGCAGACACTTCGAACCGGATGGAACATGCGCAAAAGATACAAAACAACCCACACATGAGACGAGGACTTAACAATGGGACACTGCGGATCATTGCAGTGACCTTGAGAGAGATATGTCCCGAATTATCCTAACAGTCGCGTCAAAGCGCACACATATCTCTCTCAAGGTCACTGCGATGATCCGCAGTGTCCCATTGTTAAGTCCTCGTCTCATGTGTGGGTTGTTTTGTATCTTTTGCGCGTGTTCCATCCGGTTCGAAATGTCTGCAACAAAGGAGTTTATCTGTAGAGTGTGGTTGGGAAAAAGTTCCGTGGGTACTTAAAGGCTGTTTGAGAAATAAACCAGTTCGCTGAGTTTGAGACGTTCTCTGTGTCTGTTCCTTCTAGGGATGTTGCGAACCACCCCAGGTTCGATTTCGAAAGGTTTCGATATTTGCGAAGCGAACTGAGGTTCGATTTCGAAAAATTTCGATATTTTCGTGCCGACCGAGGTTCGATTTCGAAAAATTCGCAACTTTCGATCACAGTGGAGTTTCGAATTCGAAAAGTTTGAAGCTTTCACGGTTTCTAAAATTTCGGATTCGAATATTTCGAATATTTTTTTACTTCAGGTTCGATAAATTCGAAGATTTCGAAATTCTTTGGAAATAAAATTCGAAAACTTCGAACGCTTCGAATTTTTATGGACATGAAGTTCGAACAATTCGATTATTTCAAATTTCTTTCTGCATAAAGTTCGAAAAGTTCGAAGGTTTTGATTCTCTTTTAACGCTAAATTTGAAAAAAAAAAAAAAAAAACTTTGAAAATTTTGAATTTTTTTCTAGTCCAAGTTTTCAAAGTTCGAAGTCCGGTTTTCAAGTTTGTCCACAGTTTGTTTCAAATAACGTTTTCACGTCTCACTGGTTTTCACAAACTCAAGTTTAGAAAAGTTAGGGTGTGATATCTAGATTCTGCGAAGTTGGTCAGGCAATTAAATGAGACGACGAGTGTCCCGGATGTGCTGCAATATTTGCCAGTGCAGAGTGACGTGTGACCATAGATCAGTAATTGTGACCACCAGCCCGAAGGGGGGGGAGGGGTCTTTAACCTACATCACGCAGTAGTGGTCACACGAACACCCTGTTTTACGAGAGTCATCCAGTTCGAAACGGCCAGGGGCGAGCAGGAGGTTGAGGCTCAGAAAAACCTTGAAGCGACCTGGCAAACTACCTCGTCACCCCTTGCACGCTAGTAGTAATCCGATCGAATGCCGCCCGAGTGACGCTGGCATATAGTAAATTAAGTTTGTAATTGTCCTGGAGATTTATTTTCTGGACAGGGGAATCGCCTCGCAAAAAGCCGACACAACTCGAGGTTGAGGAGCGTTCTACCATACAAGTGGCGTCGGAATAGGAAAAACGGGGGGAAAGAGTGTAGCGGGGGGCTTTAGTTTCCTCCCCCCCCCCCCCCCCTTGCAGATATTTCGGACTGTTAAAGAAAACAATACGGGGAAAAAGGGCGTGGTCGAGCTCATTTTAATCTGAAATTATTTATGCATATGTATAGCTACTGTCGCTCTTCACTGCATAAAAGATTGCGTAGATGGTCATTGTTAGAAACTCGTTGTCAGAAGGCACTACTCGTCACATGCTTAGTGGTTCGGAAGTTCAAAGCTATGTCTTTTCAACCTAAATACCTGTGCCAATAGTGAAAAAAAAAAAAAATAATAATAAATGCGAGAATAAAAAGCTGGAGAAAAAAAAAAACTATCAAGAATTTCCCGGAAGTATTGTATTCTTGCATATTTAGAGAGAGGTTCAGAACTTCGAAAGAAGTTTCTTTTACCAAAATGCGTACAGGCTAAAAGAAACACGTCCCAGGAACGTGAAGCGAAAAAAAAAATGTTTTCTTTTAATGACGTGCTGAACTTGAACACTATTAGAAATCTTCTCCCATGAGTTAATTTATTCCTTAACGTGAAAAAAAAAACAATAAATACATTATTTTGTATTCTGCAGATGGCAATGATATGTACTGTCTGTGGTGTTAATTTAAATGCGATACCTCAAACAACTTAGACGAAAATAAATATCATGTTTAGGGCATAATTGCATGTAGATACATGTTTGGACATTTCTTCGAAACTCATGTTGAATAACAAAAATCACATCTTAAGACGGCAATTACCTAGGCTATACATAGATCATTCTTAAAGAAGTATAACACCTCTACCATAAATAGCTTCGGCTACAGCGCGCTTCAAATCTGGCACAAACGATAATCGTCAAAAACCGGTCGTCCTTCCTCGCCCCTTCGGGAATTTATTTCTTTAAAACTAAGCATGCCAGAACATTGAAACAAACGGTATTGTCTTTCGTAAGGAACGCAGCACCGCGTGTAAAAGTTCGAGAAAAATAAAATTACGAATGTACCTTACTACTTGAATTCAAATGAAACCTTCCGCCTGTCTTTCGAAGTTCGACGAACGTCGAACTTTTACCCTAAAACTTCGAAGTTCGTCGAAATTCTGACTTTTCAGGATTCGAAAGTTCGAAACGTTTCGAATTTTCTTGATAAATAAGTTCGGAAGTTCGAAATTCATCGATTTTTTGGTCAGTCAAGTTCGGAAGTTCGACAAGCATCGAACTTTGCAGCGCAATAAGTTCGAAAGTTCGAAAAAGATCGAATTTCTTAGAGTAATAAGTTCGACGGTTCGAAAAGCGTCGAACTTCTTAGCTCAACAAGTTCGAAAATTCGACTTCCGTCGAATTTTACGATGTAGAAAATTCGAAAAATCGAAATCTTTCGAACCGCTTGATTCGATCATCGAAACTTCGATTCGAAAAAAGTTCGCGACATCCCTAGTTCCTTCTACTGAAAGTTCTTCCTATTTCTTCCACCGCAGTCTCAGGTGTAATACGACATGATTAGCTACCACCAGCTCGCCTGCACTCTCACCGTCTTTTCACTAACACTGCTATATCATTTTCTTGCCAGAGTCAGTAAAATAAAAGGAAAGAAGCGAAATTTAGACGAATGAATGAAAATGGCGGCCCTCCCAGCTCAGCTGGGAGCAGCCGGGAGTTCACGCGCATGCGCTCAAGCCACTCACTCTGCGTCGCAGGACGATTGGCTCACTCGGGAGGGAGCGTTACGGCGGCGAGATCAGAAACTGGCCAAACTCTCCCAATATACGGCTCTGCAATGAGGATACCCTAGGGAAACTCCCTAGATTGCTTAGAAACCCAGTTTGAGAACCAATGATCCATTTTATTCTTGTGACCAATGATCATATGGTGCCCTCAAGACGCTAAGCTTCAAAGCAAAATGTTGGTTGCCACTTTGATGCCTCCAAGAGATTTCTTTTGAAGTTCTCCCAAACCGACTAAATTTGTGCTTCGTTCATTATTACATAAATGGAGCATGTCTTCTTGCATGGCACGTAAACCCTGTATGGAACACCGGAGCCCACCTTGGAGATTGTGAGCGCCAGGCTCCAGTTGTGCTGTATCGAGTCGATTCCAATGTCCCCGTGGCGACTAACGTTGGGGTGGAAGATCTTGGTGATAAACTTCACTATGGGGGGTTTCATGGGGTACCTGCAGAAAAAGTATGACATTTCACATTAAAAACAAATTGCCCATTAGTTTGGTCACTATTTCGTGAAAGTCGTCCACTTAGTAACTCAAGGAGAGCACCCAAGACCACACCATTAGGCAGGTGGGCCTCTTTTTCTACTACCGCTAAGCAACTTGGAGGGAAAAAGAAAATTCATTTATCCACTTGCATAAAACATGCAAAGAAAAGGACTCCGTCTTCCGCAACATAGTCATCCTGAATCCGGACACCATAGCACAGGGTGCATGTGTGCCCCCAATCATGCTCTCGGCTCTCAGATTGCCGATTCACCTTCTCCGAACAATCCGCATCCCGAAGGCTTCATCGTGAGACACTTAGACAAAGACTTTGAGAGCCACATTTTAGCACCACACTTCTAGCGACTGCGCCGACGGACCAATGTTGCGACAAACAAGGGGCGGCTACTTCGGAACTGCCATTCGAGGTACCGGCCAATCTATCTTCAAGCGCAGAACATTGAGCGGAAGGGGCGTAAGTGTGAAACAATTGCACGACAAATGGTACACGCAACTTTGCCATTGTCGTCGTCCGTGCCACGCGCCGGAGAAGCGGAAAAAGAAAAATTACAAAGACACCTAAGCACTTTTTACGAGTTGTGAATGCGAAAGCACGAATGTCGTTTTTCCGCTCCCTCAGTTCGTCCGTGGCGCACTGGCGTGGACAGCCACTTTTCGCTACTGCCAAGGTTGCGTCCGACGGCCGAGCGCGCGCTCTCGTGAAGTGGCCACATCGCGCTGAGCTCGGCCGTGCAGCCTCTCCAGAGTTTGCCTGTGCAGTCTCTGCTGGCTTTGTGGCCAGAGGTCCCTCTAACCGGCAGCTGCGCCACCACGCCGCCATGGTGAGGGCTTCTCTGGTGGCGGTCCTTGGAACTAAGCCGCGCGAGAGCCAATGGGAGCCTGGTTCCTTAAAACCATGACGTGCGCCACCCAATGAAAGCCTATCGATCAGAGTGCTGCTACGGACGACAGGCTTGGTTCCATTGGGACAGGGGAGTTTATGTGCCGTTTGGCACGGCTTCAAGAGCTGATAACCTTGGTTCGTTCCATGGGACCAGTTAATGCTTTCGCATTAAAAAAAACAGTCGGGCGTAGCTACGCGATTTCCGGCCATGAGCTTCCGTGCTCGTATTTCAATTTCGAGCAGTTGAGTTTTTTGGCTTTATTAAAACATAAGTGGCCCTGCAGCAAAATATAGATTGGGTAGTCTCCCAACACCATAATAAATCACCTAACAAAAAAAAAATTTTAGGCAGTGTTAGTGGGTGGGATAAGTGCCATTTTGCTATCTTCTGCGCTCATATATTCTCCAAACACACAAGCAAGCCTCCCCTTACGAAAGAGAAGGGAACGTCGCCACCCGACTCACTTGCTGGGTATCTGGACAAACAGCAGGAACTGGCCACCCTCGTAGGGGCTGTCCTGGGGCCCCGTGATGGCCGCCTGCCAGTGGCAGCACAGGGGGTCCAGGGGAACAGCCCCGATGCCATCTGGCGGGTCTGTCCGCAGAAGCTTCAACTCGTGTTGGAGGCGCACTGCCCGCCATGATCCGTCCCCGCCTGCCTCCTCGGGTGCAGCCGAGACGCCCCTGGGCCGCTGCTCCCACATTTCGTGGAGGCACCGCTTGCACGGGGCACTGTCCACCCTGCACAAGTGCGCCGACACGTGCGCACCGTTTTGGGTGTCGCCAGCGTCTCTCTCCGTGCTCCCAAACCAGAGCTGTCGGAAGTGCTCAGGAGGGAGATTTACCTCCCCCTACATTGTTCACCACAAACGTCTGAAATGTCCGAAGAGGGGAGATTATCCCGCCCCCGATGCCACTGTCCCAAACCTGATGGCATGCGGCTGAGGAGTGGAACCCTGATTTCGTTCCCATATTTTCCAGACTCATTCCTGTCTTGACTAGACTTTAGCAAAGTCACCCGACTGGCTTTTATAAAGCAGTAAATAAAACAATTGTTTACAACAACAACAATGGCATTTGCCACTACACTTTATATCATTCATACTTTAGAGCAATCACTGTTCTTTCAAAGGTTCTCAGCTAATGAAATGAGGCAGAGTGGTGCATCTAAAAAGGTCAAGATACACATGCACGAAAGTGAAAGTATGCAGAGAAGTTATTCGAAGAGTCAACTGTAGGGGAAACTGACAAATTTGTAGACACCTTCTGTTTTCCCTCCTGGCAGAGAGCCCGCCAAACAAGAGAAGCAGGCACAAAATCAGTTTGCAATCCTATAAGAAAAAATTACAGGAGGACACTTAAGACTGCTTATGTGTAGGAATGCCAAAAACAAACAAGGACGCCAGTGTCCTCCATTATGACGACTAGGAATGTTGTAAACTTCTGCTGAACGTTGAGGCTGACTGGTTCAACCAAACTTGAAGCTTGACAGTATTCAAGGAAGTTCTACTTCTTGAACAGCGTTGCCTGATATTTATACAAAAATTATCTAATTTTAGTTTTAACAAGTTACATAATTTAGAGCATTTACAAAATAATTACTCGTGCTCAACAATATAACATTACACACATAAAATTATATTGATTTATTTTGCTCTTAATGCACACACAATGCTGTTCCAATTTTGTCTGCTCTAGATGACACTAGAGTGACTGCATAAAGCCTTCTCATGGCAAACGCCACCAGGCGGTGCTTGTCTTTGAAATCCCGGTGAACTTTCAGTTCATAAAAATAATGAACAAAGCCAACTTTAACACAGCTGCCTGGAACGTCGATGAAACATTCAACCCCCAATTCTCCAGGTGAACACCAAAAGAACCAAGAAGAGCGATAATATTCTCGGAAACCAACTTGTCTCCTCCAAGACGTTATAACGTAAAATCGAAGGCCCACGCAAAATCTCCAACATTGTTGTCCGTGTAGCATATATGCTTTCTAGCACTGGTCACACAAGCAAACTCGACAGGCTAGCAAAGATGGAGTGACCAGAAGTCGCTTGGGACGCAAGCAGCAGTTCATTTTGTAAACAGTAAAAGAGTCTATTCGCGACTCCAATTCACTATAGGTGGCGCCACTCGTTTTCCAAAATGGCGGGTTTAGTGAGGGTCGGAGATGCATGCCACTGCTGAGCCTGTCTACTTTGCTGGCTTCACTGAGCGACACAAATTATTTCTGCTTATACAAGGAAGCTAGGGTGTTATGAACGCAGGCCACCTCTTTATCCTGAAAACAACAACGGTATTTAGCATAATATTTACGCCAGGAAGCGCGTTTTAATTCTGGAGCGAAACCAAAACTCACCTCTAATTTGGATTTAATTTCTTGGTATAGGTCTTAATTTCAGATTCTTTCATAACTCAAGATGTGTCTCACACCTTAATTATTTAGTTAAAGAAGTTGTTCGCAGAAACTTTTGTACCTTTAGAGAAAGGGTCTTTCATACACCTTAGAGGTAACATAGAATATTATTATTTGTCGAAAACATCAGTGCTGATATTTGTGTGTTCTCGCTGCCTTTTCTCGCTCAGATAATTGTCATGTGAAATAATGAACTGCGGGCCTTTTAATGTGGTTTTGGGTATTTAGATGATTAATTGCTTTAGCATTTTACCCAGCACAAGAATAACAGAATAAATCCAATTTTTAAAATATGTTCACAAAACGTACGAGTTAAGAAACGCTGTTCTCACTAGAAAAATTCAAAGACGGAATCAGAGTCAGGCAGCTGAAGTGTGCGTGTTTTTTTAAAGCAACGCATGACGCATAGGAGTTTATATTGCATCAAGTGTTTGCCTGTCTGTCTGTCTTGATAACGATGTCAGAGGTTTTCATGTGCTAAAAAGAAAACAAAATGATACCTTTCTGGAAATACTTTTATGGTTAAATGGCATAGTTTTGTGATTGTGGCCTTAATTGGAGGCATACATTGCCGCAATTTGTATTAATAATAATATAAATATTAAAATTAAGATATTTTAAAATGCAATTCTTCACGTTCTAAAATAATAAGTTGCTTATGATCTAATTTCAAACGCACGAACAAGTATGACAATCTAAGGTGTGCTATCATCACTGGTGCCAATTGCAGCATTTTCAATTACCAAGTTATAAAATAATTAAAGTCTAAAATCAACGAAAACGTCCTAGCTAATGAGAAAATTCATGTAAAATTAGATTAATTGAGGATGCTGTCAAAGTAGCGACTTATGACAATCGGCAAAACTTCCAAAGTCGCCGCCAATATCCTTCCAGACCAAATACCCCCCCCACCGAAAAACAAAAACGAATTTTGTTTTTAATTACCCTTTTTTTTTACATATATTTACTTTCGTATTTACGCGCCGTCGTTTTGCCAATCTCAGCCTTTCCAGACCGAAGGAACGCCTACCTGCTTGCATGTCTGCTCACTGCAGCACGTTTTGTTGGCATCGGAAGCCGGTGAAACAGTAGCGAGTTTTAGTATTGCATATACGAGCGAACGCAAGCGCTGTGTGTTTGCGTTAGCTTTGCGTGTTCCACGCTGCGCATGCGCGGAGCCCAAAATTGCAATCTCAAATCGAAGCATGGCAAAGACACGCACGCACCAACGTGGAGCACGCCACCATAACGCAAATGCACAGCGCATGCATTTGCTTTTATACACAATACTAAAACTCTCCAATAAGGTACAATCCCATACCGGCTGCAGCACTACATTGGGACAGTGAAGAGTGTTGTTTGCATTAGGAAATGACATTGAGCGAGCCATGATCACGAGCAGTTCCGCCATGCCCATTGAGCAGGAAAATCAGGAAACCCTCACTAGAGCGCTTCCCGTTTCTGCTGTGGGAGGGTGAGCAACGAGCTGGAGATGCGAATAGGCTCTGCTTGCAGAGCCAGAGTACCGTATTCCTTTTCTTTTTGCCGCCAACCCTGTATTGGCAGACAGGCAGTCACGTGCGTCGAGCTGGATCCAAACTTCACGAGGGGAAGCGACCTTGCAGGCGCCGAGTTTCAGGCAGAGCACGCTTCTCGCTTTGCGTTTGCGAAATATACGTCCTGCACTAAAATTGAACCAACTGAAAGCTTTCTTGACCATTGAACATTATGTGTAGCCACTGAGTACAGTATCATCGCATTGTTTTATAAGGCGAGCAATGTTTTCAAACTTGTCTCTTAAAACTGGGAAGCAGACAACACAAAGGACGATCTAGTTGCTCGCGTGTGTGGCGTTTGTGGAGTGATACACAACCGGCACATCAGGGCCCCTTGGAGCAGATAACGATGCGCAGCTACGGTTCACAAAAGGACGACGTTTTTGTCGGCCACTACGTTCTACCTAGGGCACAGAGAGAAACAGAAAACAAAAGACGGGACGACGGCGCACACGCGATGTGTCGCCACACTATGTTTTCTCTGCTCCGCACGTTGCAGCATGCCGCCCTTACAGCCACACCATCGGCATCTCTGGGCACTCCTGCAGAAGCGACAATCGCTTTCCCCAGTGCAGCTGCTCCGCAAGCGGAACATATACAGTTAATCTAAATGAAACCAGCCAGCGCCGCTGAACTGTAACCGAGCCAGAAGTCCTGCTAGCCCATTTTCAACTTCGAGCATGCACATACTAATGCTCTAACTTTACGTTAGAAGTCAAGAAACGTCGAACCTGCTTAAACTCGAACCTCGACAGGCTCACAACATCCGTACTGACAATGATAGTGCTAGTTTACACTGATTATAAGGGGTGAGTGAGGACTTGCATGCGACTGTAGAGGGTCTTCCAGCACTGCACCCTGTGATGTGCCTTGAAAAGGGGCCAGCGGCGCTTGATAAACAAAGCCCAGTCTTCTTCGTTCAGCTCAGATTCCAGAATTTGATTCCAGCGTCGGCACACTTGACTGCTGTGCCACAGTGACAGGTCGTCCAACCGGCAGAAGATGAGAGACAGGACTGTGTACACAAAACACATGAAGTGACATCAATACAACAGAGACCAGCTGGGTATTATCGTTTGAACGTTACAACTCTGGCCCTCTGCCACTCAGCACATCTCACATCGTAAAGCAATCATCCCAGACCAAATCCTCCACTCTGCAAAACTAGTCAGTCCCCTCTCATAAAAGAAATATAAAATAAAGATTGCAACACTCCAGTTTCTTAGCCCCCCAGTTCCTATACTCATTTACAACTCAAGAATCTCAGTAAAAGAATGTGTGGCTCCCCATGGAGTGTTACTAACTTCCCTTTTTATCTGATGAATTCAGAAAACTGTATGTGCATTTAAGCTTCTTTTTTTTTTTTTTACCTTCTATTTAAACAAGTTTTAAATGCTAAAAGCATAGTTTTTTTCTCTGACAACCAAATGTTGTAAGAACTGCTTCGTGCAGTGAATAAACTAAGCGCAAACATTGCCGTTTTCTTGGGTGTAAACTCGGAAAGCACCCGACTAATTTTAAACAAAAGCTGCAGGGAATGTGTGGAGGTGATCACACTGAAAAAGTCACTCAACAACCTTAATGTGAATTTCTTTCGAGCTCCTCTTGAGAACAAAATCAGCATGCACCTTAATTATCTAACTAGATTTTATGACAAGATGGTGGCCACAGGTAACCCTTTATAATAAATGTGCATGCTTCAGCTCACGAGATATGACCTCCTAATGTCCATCGAGGTAGGATCGTTTTGCAGGGCTGTCCAACCAACCTTCAAGGGGAAGACGTGCCAGAACCCCGTCAGGCGTGGGCTCCTGGTCCCTGGCATTGCTCAGGGCCGAGATGCACTCCGCCAGCCGGTCTGCCTTGGGTCCCGGAAGCAGCGTCCGCGGCTTCTCGACATTCTTCTGCACCATCTCGTAGAAGTCGTTTGGCTCGTCATTCCCTGAGTCTTCAGAGTCGCTCTTCTGCACCACAATGAATGGCCAGAAGCCCCTTCAACCCCTTGCACTTGTTTGTCTGTAGGATCATGGCAGTGTTACATTGAGCTTGCAAAGAGACTGGATCCACTAAAACAATGCAGTCTGATCTTCCTTTTTCCCAATATATAGAGCTCTATTCCAGGTACCAGTTTAATATAGCATAAACACCCTCAAAAGCAAGCAATTCAATTTTTTTTTTAATACCACAGGTTGGCCTGTTGATCTTGAAGACCAATCTAGCGTGACCCTATTCAGAGAGCAAGCCGAGAACCAAATATAATGCCTGCCAGGAGTCCGATTTCGATCGCAGCAAGAGTGAGTTCAAAATCTTGGACCGATAGAGTCAAGATATTGGTAGCAAACAACTTGTCTGTCAATGCGAGCGAAGAATGGGGGTTTGCCTGCCCCAAGGTGTCATTCGCAGGACATAGAACAGGGAAACACCTAGCATCAGTTAGTACCAGAACCGAAAAAAAGAGTGGACAGTCTTCTATAAACCGAGTTCCAGGGGCAATGCGACTGAAAGCAAGCTTAAATTGTAAATGTCCACTGTTTTACGAAGGAAGCTATCAACAACCCATGCTTCCTTCGCAAATCTCGAGTTGTTTTCTTGCCATACAGATGCCGAAACTCGCCGGTGGATAAATAAAGGCCCAGGACATGCCCATGAGCGGCCGCGAGACCTTTCTCGCCACTTGCATCCGGGTGAAAAGTCCTGGCGCAAGTACTACCGCACTGTGGGCTCGTGAACAGATCTAACATTTCTCCTTGGTTGATAACGCACGTACTGAACAAAGTTGTGACAGCACATCCAGTGAGCAGCCGAGAAAGTTCTCTCTCTCACCAGAGACAGAGATGGGACCTGAGGAGAGGTTCAACTCACCCAGCTCTGGTCCCCCTCCTGCTCACAAAGGATGTCTGGATAGAGGAACGCATGGCACGTGCAGCAGAGTGGATGGCCGAACGAAGGACCGTAGAACCCGTTGCACGCATGACATACAGTTTGCTGCAACAAGGACGGGGAAAGACAAGCAGGAAATCCAAACTTAAGTCGTCAGTTTTGGTTACTGCCAAAGCACATTCAGCTTTAAAAAAAAGCTAAAGAGGTTCTTGGAAACAAAAAGAGTTAGAGGTGAATTTAAGCATATTTTTGTCCTGTGAATTTGAATATCACAAGCATTTGAGCAAATGTATCAACAGATGAGAGAAAAACCAAGAAACCAACCGCCGGGTGCGATGTCATATCCAGAGGTTTCAACTGCCTTGAACGTGCCACTTGTGAGGCAACGTGTGCAGTGTTTTTGCCTACTCAGGTAAGGCCTGCAGAAGGCGCGGAAATGTTGACATCTCTGTATATTACGTTGCGATTTTCTCCTTCTCCTATCGAACGCACTGAAAAGGAAAAGCTTCAACTCTATTTTGAGAGTACTGTTCTGGCTACTTGGCACATCAATCAGAAATATAATTTTGATGTCCCTGATCCTGGAGGCCAAATGAAGACGACTGAAAGTTTTCTTTTCTTTTTTTTCTCAAATAGAGAATCGCTTTAGTTTCCCTTTCTTCACTTCAGACTTCTCTAAGCAGAACTAAAGCTGTCACACATTTCCCAAATAAGTGCAGCTAAATTGCCACTTTTATTGACCTGTGTAACTCTATGGCAGAGGCAGGCTAAATAAGGATCTCCAAGGAGTGCACCAGTATCCTTGGTGGCTTTAAAAGTTGGATACGAAAATATCTTTGTCCATGCATTGCAATGAGCCTCCTAAGACACATACCTTATTTTACAAATCTGCTGAACTAAAAGAAAAGTGTAAGGCCGGAGTTGCTCTATTTGAAGTGCAATCTGCATTAAAAGTAAGCTGGCTGTTGTGAGGCATGTTTACCTGCATTGTGCTGAATTAAATTATACACTTCAAAATAGCTCATAACTGGGGCTGGGCATCGACAAAAAGTTATAACCCAATTAATTGCCATCCTTTAATCAGTTAATTAATCGATTTCGTTCACTCCCATGCATAATAGTAAAAAGAAGTCAAAATTACATTGTTTGCCTTTGCTGAATACGCGATAAACAGCGCAATGTACGATTTCAAATTTTAAATTAACCTTGAAGTGTAGTTGAGAACAGTAAAAAAACACCCACACTTGCAAGTTATTACTTCAGCTGCTGAGGCAAAGAGGCTTGTTGATATTCTGCAGCAATAGCGGCCTCTTTATTGTTCACAATATTCTCTGCTGTGCTAAACGGACAATCGCGCAGCGTTGAAGCGGCTGGGACACGTACAACTTTGTTCACTTGTTTGGAGTTACAAATCTCACCCCAGCAGTTTACTTTAGATCAAAATTTCACCTAAAGTTTGCCTTCATACATGTATACGTCTGCGAGGTGAAAGCATTAAATTTTTATATTAATTTTGTTGTCAATATTTAACTGATTAAGCATTAACAAAAATTAATTGCAATTAAAGCACTAATTGATTAGTTGGTAGGTTAATCAATGAAGTGCCCAGCCCTACTCATAACAGATAAATCTGGCTCCAAACAGTTTGCATAAAACCATTAAAGGGCCCATGAAACGAATTTTGGGCTGGAATAAATCAATTTATATTGGGACTTTACTAATAGCACATGTTAAGTGGGCCAAAAGAAAAAAAGTAGAAAGTCAAAAGCCTGACTTTTGGTACGAAAATTTGAAAACACACTGGACTATTCGTACCACCTTCCCTTCGTAAGCTCCCTGCCTTTTCACTGTAATACATCCGCGGTCAAAGCAGCGCGTCACCGGGCCCAAATGTAAGTCACACGACACCGGACCTCACTTATTCCCTTCACCCCTAAGCTGACATTGTGGTGGAAGCTACGCGCTTGCCGGACCATTCAGCCGCCTCTCTTTCATCACCCGACCTCATTCTCTGCACGTGGGTATGCGCAAGAGAGCGTGATCACCTGGCAAAAGTGTGGCTGGCCAAACGAGCCCGTAGCTTCCACAGCACTGTCAGCTTCGGTGTGAACGGAGTGGGGAAAGAAACTTGTCTGAATTTTGAGCGACAGGTTAATCTAGGGGGACAATGGCTGTGTCCAGGTACACAAACGAGGGTTTGAGCAAGAGGGAACTCCCCCCTTTCCATCTGCTTGAACTGTTTGGTAGAATGTGCGATTTATGAGTCGAGGAGGAAAGCTAAACAGGAAAAAGTTGGAAAAGCGTTTCACGACTCTTTTAATGCAACAATTCCTCCAAAAAGTTTAAATTTTCCTTAAGATACCAAAATTGTTTTTATGGAAGTTAAACATTTACAAAATGTTACACCACTATGTTTGTGAGGCTAATACCATCATTTAGCACAAAAAAATTTCAAGATAAATTTGAGTCAATACATTACTGACATGACAACAAATACTATTGTTGCACTATCATGCAATGCAATCCTCTAAGGACCAGATGGTTGGTGGTATGCAAAGGAATACTGCAGAAATGTATTGTCAGTGCTGCTTAGCAGCACAGCAAAGTTAGAGTGGAGGAAACTAACTTCAGAGGTAACTGGAAGTGAGTTCACCATTGTGTTAGCACCTATAACAAGCAACAAGTGTAACGAAATTGGAGTTGACATCAGCACATAAGAGTGGCTCACAAAATGCTTGGCACCATTATGCAGGCTAACCTGACACACCTCTGTAAGTACAAGCACAGCCAGGGGGTGGGGTTTGTGTGGCAAGTCATGGTCATTCCAGCTTCTACCCTACACCCCCCCCCCCCCCCCCCCCCCCCCCCCCCCGAAAAAAAATCCTGGCTATGCCACTGTTCGCAAGTTTGTATTTTTTCACACTGACGAATCGAAGAGACAACCATCACACCAACATTCAATATTCAAACAGTGGCACAGTGCAATGACTGCACAGGCTGAATTCGTTTTCCCGTTTCATTTTGACTGGCACAAACAGTTTGCAAGTATAAGTAAGTAGGTGGAGGCGGTCGCAAGGGTGCGCACATTCAGAGGTGACACTGAAAACGTCTATGACAGCCAGGACAGACCTATAAGAATACACGGTCACCAGCATTTCCCTTTTTGCCCCATACCGTGAGAAAACTTTGATAAACGGTGAATACTTGGGAACTTCATTGCAGCTCTCTAGCGACGAACCATTGCAAGTCGACCTTATTCCGAATTGAAGCTGAGTGGCAAAGCAATGCAAATCAGCCAGCAATTTGCCGCGGTATTAGAAGAGTTGATAGGCATGAACGTGTCCAGTCGCTGCATCAGGCTAGATACTTTCACACCGATGCCAATTTCAGAGAAAAATAAACACTAAAAGTCGCGCAACTACTCGACTGAAATGTAGCGACGCGCATATTTAGCACAGCACTAGATGAATGATTGCATGCCTAACAAACCACAAATGTTACAAGTGATCCACTACTTCAGAAACAATAATCATAGTAAGTACGGGCAACGACACGCATTTTTCTCCACGTCGCGTCGGTGCTAATGGCTGATCGGTCTACATTAAAGCAACACGCTATGTCGAGCCCCCATTAGTCGTTTCCAAAATATTTTCGGAGGAGGCCAGCTGACTCCGATTGCGGTAAAATGACCGAAGACACTCTCCAACTGAAAGGAGCAGTGGGGACGGGCAGGGTACAGCGCGACGCCGGACAAGAGATCGGTGCAACGGCGCACCGCGAGACTTCGGCCTACCTTGAACTGAAAGATCTTGTGTCCGTTTCGACTAATTTCCTCGAGACGACCATCTCCCAGGCGTCTGACTGAAACCGAACTGCGCTGGACATTGCAGTTCACGGTAGCCATTTCATGCGTGCTGCGCCCTGGCCCGTGGAAACAACCTTAGCCCGCCGACGACAAATCAAGAATGCATCGTAACTGGAGACACCTATCAAGAGCCTAGAGTACTCGGCGTGTTTATGCGTTCCGTGAGTTGACCGCGCCAAGCTCTAGGCAGAAATTTCCACGCAACATTAGGATGTCGTCTTCGAAAGCCGACGCCATTGTTAGCAGCGCGAGCAGCGTCTAGAGCTCGACCTATCAAGTGGCGTAAGCCGTGTAGCCACAAGGCGGATACTTGCATTAATCCACGACGAACAATGAGAAAATCAAATATCGGCACTTTGTATTACTAAGTTTGGGACAAACAAAACACTTTCTATGCGTTAAATTATGAATCAGCAGAATCACTTAAAGCTTGATCGTAATTCTTTTACTTGCTCGCTACGAACTGTTTTTTTTTGTTTTTTTTTACTTTTTTTAAATTCTGAATAATGGTTTTTATCTGTCAAAATCAGTTATTATAATGTACCAACTCTATGATCAAAATAGCGGTACGGTGGTACCTACCTCGTTGGGGCGTACTTGGACCGTTGTACGAGTACAAGCATAGCATAAATGAAGGTGGCTGGCTAGCAGACGCTAACGTTGGAAGACGCTCACCCGTACGGGCCCCCCGCCTAGCTGCCTTGCGAGCCACCCAGTGTACCTCAATTTTCGCTCATAAAGATTGTTAATATTATTAATATTAACGTTTAGAGAGCTTTAGTCTTCCAAACAGGACTTACCTATACTTCGTTTCAGCTCAAGTCCAGACGCAGCCGAGGCTACAAGCGCGAGCATGCGGCCCAGAACAGTGCACGAGCGCGCGTGCTTGACAGAGACGCAAAAAGCCAGGAGCTCGCGCTTGTACCTCCACGCTCCCTTGCCAGGGGTGTGGAGACGTGTATTCTACCGGTTAATCTCGAACCAGTAATTCTTAAGATGAAGTAGGAGGATGTACACAGGACAAGCGCTGAATTACGGGTGTAAAAAAACAGAAAAAGAACGCCCGGGAAATTCATCCCTGTTGGCTACTTAGCACAGGAAGAGGGAAGCAATTGATACATAAGTACCCATTTCACGAGAGAATCAGCCTGTGGGCTAAATAGCTACTCTAGAAGACTGAAACCCCCAACAAGTCTAGATGTAGTATACATGTAGTATTCACGCCCAGCCAATGCCATCATTGGCCGACACCTAAGCTAAAATAACTGGCAAATTTAGAAAACGATACCCTGCCCTGTAGGTAAACCTCAGCCGAAAACTTCATTCTCCGACCTCGCTCGTGCAGGTCAAGCGGTTCGTCTCCAAACAATTCAGATTTAAGTTATTCTAATGGAGCGTGGTAGGCACAGCAAAAAGATGCTCGTACCTAAATGCATCTGACGAGAAACAAAAGTGGAGCCACGTGGTAATACAAGCTCTTGCAGTTAAAAAAAAAAAAAAAAGAATCTACAATGAGTCTTTCATGCTTTGGTTTTTATTAAACGATACAGCTTACTCTTACATCACATTAAAAAAGGGGAGAGGGAAACAGCGATTTTGTGTTGCATCTAATGTTCAAATAATTTTAAGGACCCCTCCGAGGAAAGCAAAGTACTAAGTGCCCGCAGTAGGTTTTCCTACAAACTTGAAAAACTAAAAAAATTAGCAACTGTAAAGGAAAAAAAAAACATTCTAGAATTTTTTGAAAACAGGCCGGAAACAAATCCACACTGCAAATTGCATTTTGTTTTCGTAAACCAACCTAACATTTTGCCAGGGGCGGATCCAAGAAGGGGGGGGGGACGACCCCCCCCCCCCCCCCCCAGGTGCACAAGAACGAATAGGAGAATAGCATCCTTTCAAATTCTTCCCCTCCCTCCCTCCCTCCTTCTTCCCCCCCCCCCCCCCCTCAGAGTTCTGGATCCGCCCCTGCATTTCGCTGGTGTCTCTTGGTCACAAATTCACCTCTGTCCACTTTAGGTCCCCATCTCAGACGACAGTAAATCAATATACAATTACAAGGAATGCAGAAACATGCTTTCAGCAAGTCACAAGAAAAAAAGTTCCGAGACAATTTAGCATATGCTTAAAAAAAAAAAAAGAGACGATTCAGAAAACAAACCCTCTCCACGAGTTTCAACTCATTAGCAAGTTTCATGCAGACCTTTCCGAAAAGCCTATACAAAGGGTACAAAAAAAAAATGTGCATTTAACAGTTCCAGCTATTTTTTTCTTTTTCTGCAGTGTATGCTGTACATAATAGCTCTGCCCTACTCTTCTCAGTGATGGATGTTAAATGACGTGTTCAAACGACCCAATTGTGCTGAAATTGGTTTTGGAGCATTAAAGCAAATTTATTCGTCAAACTCTCCCTTCGTTTCAAAATTTGGGACCCCAAATATGCTTTATTAAATGCCTTCAACAATGTCTCCACGCAAGAGGAGAAAAGAGGCGATTGAATTTTCAGACTGCCCAAAAGTTGTGCCACATGGGTATACACATAACATATCTTCTGCTACCCTCCCCACAATGAAGAGATGTCTATAGGGGAGGAAAGAAAGCTTCCATTTGCACGTGTTGTATAGCCACAAAAAAAACTGAACAAATCTTGTAAAAGTGTATCGCATGCAGAGCCTACAGCACAAAATAGTTTGTAACTACTTTCAGGTTGCAACCACACCCCTTTCCCTCGCCCAACGGACACCAATAATCAGCCCGACACAGCTGTCAAGAGTACAAAGCTCACTTCACAATCCGAACGAGAAAATGACACCGCAAGAGTCCCTTTGCCTGCTGCAATACACGTCACTACACGTGCACCGTGCCAGTGTCACAAACTTGGGGCAGCTTCAGAAACGTCGAGAGAGCACAGGTATCCCTATCCCTGCTTCACCAGAGGCAACAACAGAGAGAAAAAAAAAGGATAGTATTACTCCCCACAGAAGAGTTCCGAAAAGGTGACAGCTTGCAGCCGGTTGGCTTATGGAATCTAGCTCCCTTTATTTCCACCTTCGCTACCTGTGAACCGCCAGTGGGGTGAAGCCTGGGGGTCCCCCCTGCTGGAACTTTCCCATTGCAGCAGGCAGAGAAGGAAAGGGCTGGCGCCTTCCCGCGTCCCTCAATCTGAAGAGCACGACCGCGAGTCGAGAGAACGACACGGAGGAGTGAGCGACCAAATCGAGGCTCTTCCCTCCCCCCCTCGGTTCCGGCAGTGGCCACTACTGGTGGGCACACTCCACACCAGGCCCCGCGCGGTGGTGGTGGTCCTCGGCGTCCTCGTGGTATGCTTCCGAGCGCCCGCCGCGTTCGCCGCTCATGCTCGGGTCGTATTCGTGCAGGTCCACGTCCTCCACATGCTCCCCCGTTGGCACGTGCACGGGGCTGGGCCGGTCCCCGATCAGTGCCTCCACCTCCTGCACAACCAGACAGAGACACCACTGAGCATTTCTAGACGCAAGTTGTCAACCAGGCAACGCTGTACCCTAGGGAAATATCGAGCAGCCTGCAACTATTGAAGGCATCTGCTCAAGGCTGAGCACAATAGGCAGCTGTAGCTGCCGTCGCAAAAACATTGTGCCATGGGCGAACTTGGCACTATAAATATATATTACAGCGGAGCTGTTAAGGGCTAGTTTCCCTAGGATCGTGTCCGTCCGCACACAAATGTTGACACAACACTGATTGCCGCTGTCACTCATAGATGGCGATAGCTGTCCAGTGTTGTGTTTGCCAGTTGTCTGCTTGCCGCCGTCGATCATAGATGGAGTAACCTCTCCAGCCTTTCCACTCTGGCTTGCCGACTTGTGGACGGCCATTGCTTCATTCCCACCATGGTACAGCTTCGCCGGTCTTCCTTCTTGACCAAAGTGGAAAGGCTGAAGGTTTTTTTAAGAGTATTTTTCGATCTAAAAATACAGAATAAAAAACAAGTACACAGTGGTTTGTTTACAGTTTCCACGAGTGTTCTTACGCCGTTCGTTGAAGTGGCAAGAGACGCCAGAAACCACCTGATCATGCTTTCTAAACGTGCAAACAAATTTTAACTCGAAACATTCCATGAAGCCCAAAAGTGAAGCCCAAATAAAAGCGTGGCCGCGAGGCTCGACACCGAGTGGTTTTGAGAGAGGCCAACTCGATAAAAAAAGTGTTTGCGAAGTGCGGGAGTCAAGCCCAGACCGCTTAGATTATTAGGCAAGTGTCTTTCCAGTATGTTGGAGCACATCGCCACGAGTTGGAAGCTATTTGGCGAGAAAGCCCTGCGGGGTATCTGCTCTGCGTCCAGCATATGGCAACTTGACACCCTGTCGCAAGTTTTGAAACCCAGGTTAGCACCGGTACCTCCATTCTAGGGATCGCTATCGACTGGACATGCCCCACGTTAAGTCAGTCACTTAACTAACCGATGAAGAGCACAAAGCGTAGACGCCAAACCATTTCACATGCAACACAACTGCCCAGCAATTCGGTATGCACTGTAGTTCAGTGTTCACACAATGTATCTAGTTTCTGCAGTAGATATGCACGGCTGTCCCCATCCCGTGCCCTCGCACAAGGACGGGCATAGCAGCAGACTGGCTATTAATTAAAACCAATAGTGCAGTCTTGTTTCTGCAGATTGCACTTTGGTTCCTTAGAAGGATGCATCGCAACAGATGCATATCACCTCGGATAAGAGAACGTCAAAATTGTCTGCAACACCTGTTCGAGGCATTCATTACGTGCCAAGGCCCCCGGGAACGAATGCTGCAACAGCCAAGCATGGCCTGGCCAGTCGAGAGTGGACACAATAAGGGGAAGCAGACCTACCTTAAGAGCCACCTCATCGGCAAAGTGGTTGTCCGGAAATACGACGTCAAACTTGATGTACAGGTTTCCTTTTTCAAAGGGGTCCCTGTAGACAGGCATGCCCTCGCCACGGATGCCCTTCATGGACCCTGAGAGGTGAAGCACACACCGATATGGCACAGCCATCACACAATTTCGCCAGAAACAAAGCACTCCTAGCTGCTCCTCGTGAATCAAGCATTGAAAATTTAGAGCAATGAGATCACCTCAGATGGGCCAGGCAATGCAAAAAAACTATCAGTTAACTCAAAGCACGGCAGAGAGGTGACAGTAGCATACAAGTCAGCTCTTGCTAATCCTGCCTTGCACCCTTTCCTGGGTTCCTTTCTTATCTTCACTTCAATTCTAAACTAGATCTTACTTACTTTAAAGACTTTTTTAAATGAAGTCCTTCACCCCTTTGCAGCCCCTTTCTAAAAATTCCCCATACTTTTGCTAAAAAAAAATACACATTTCTATTTTCAAAAATGGCCCAAGAATGGAAACACAAGGTGTCAAGGAACAACAAACCCAAACAAAAGTAACTCGCATAACCTCATAAGAACTGAAATGCCTCTGGGCAAACACCATATTTCTAGGTGTATATGCACAAAAAAAATTCAGAGAATTGACATACATTTCTTAAGACTTTTGCACGCTTCGAGACCTATGGATGTAATCTAGCTACAAGGCAATCTGGACACTTGATCACTGATTTCTCGCCGCACGACCCAGCGCCGTAATGGCTGTCTGCGCACATTACTTAAACGGCATTCACATGCGAGTAATCTTGGGATGTATTTGCGAGACATCGGCAGAAGTCCCTCTACAGCTCGCAGAGACGACATGTTGGTAGAAGGGATGCGAGCATTTGCAAACGACTGTACAAGCAGTCAACCAAGGCGAATGGAATACAGCACAATTCTGATGCCTTCATTATAGGGGGCACTATTCACTTTCCTTGAAGTGCTGCATCATGGGAAGAGAAATTGCCTGACCACCATTGATGTGGACAAAACCATGACTTGCAGCAGGTGCTCTACATTTAGCTGCGCCGTGGTCGGTTTCAAAACAAGCAACCGATGGGAATAACTCGGGCAAATAAGCGTGTATTTCGCCTTGAACGTCATATGCGGTCAGGGGAAGTATATCGGCCATCAATGGATGCAAAGTATGTAGTGTACAGAAATGACCACTTCCTGACAACTGGCTCATTCAGTACCGTCATGGACAGCCTTTTACTAACCGAGTCTGCCACTCACGCAACTGGACAATGCCAAAATTTTGCAATGTATGCACATTCTAAAGTGCAGACACTTTATGGAGACAGAGCAGAACATTCCAGACTTCAATTCCTTTTTCAGTACTACTTGTACGATTGTTTACGGGGGTGCGATACCAAAGTTACAATCTGCTAAATAATTAGACACGTGTCACTGCGCGCACAGTGTTAAAGCATGTGGCACTTAAAGGCAGACAAGCAGTCAGAAAGAAGGAAACTCCCCCTCAATTCCTCCTTTCCATTCAAGAAAAAGGGACCCTCTTTTCTGCGGGGAGTAGCTCAGAGACCTGCTCATGTGGGAGAGAAGACCGTGAGAGGGAAGCGAGAGAAGGAAACTGGGAACTGGTTTTCTGCCCAGCAGAAGACTCTGCAAGTTGGCCTTTAGAGTAAATCACTAGCTTTGTCTAATGGTCTTCTGTTTCAGCGAGGAAAAGAGTAGTGGCAGAGTTCGGTGTGGCAAGCACGGGCAGAGAGGCTGAAGTAGGAGCGTTCAAATGTTCCATCTTGTCACATGGTTTACAGGCACCATTTCATGGCTAAACATGAGTCACTGCTTGCAGGTTTATGTCATTTGTCAGCATTGCCTGGTAACCAAATACAAATCGTGAACACACACACACACAAAAAAAAAAATTCACTATTGTAACTACTGAAGTCCAAAAATTATGAAAATTTTAGTGTGTATGTTGGCCTTGCCTATTAATATTCTGTATCGGAAACAATCCAACTTGTTTAATTTCTTTTGAAGATTCCTTTACAATTAGTTTGTTCGGCAGAAAAAGTGTGCATAGATGGGAAACGCAGTAACATAAATTATGAAAAATGCCCTACATCCTTTTTCATTGAAATGCAACATCACACAGTGGGAAGTGCGTCGAACAGTAGCACAAAAAGAAAATCGTATTGGGGGGCTGCACGTCGCCCAGCAAGTGAGGCTATGTGCGACACCCGAAGACTCCTGGGGAATAGACCACACAGGCTTCGAACCGGTCTTTGCATTCCGGAGGACAAACATACACCTCTACTTCACGGAGGCAGTCAGCCTGCAGCATAAAATGAGGCAAGCCGAGCAAAGACCCACTCACGAGGCTTAATGACGCTGCCAGGCGGGTGCTTGATGACAATGTCCCTGCCGTCGAGGTGCTTTAGGACCATCTCAAAGCCACAGAGGGCCTCCGTCAAGGTCACCGAGTGGCTCATGAACAGGTTGCTCCCCTCACGGTGGAACAACTCGTGCGGCTTCGTTTGCAGAATTATCACCACGTCTCCAGTCTCCACACCCGGCTGTTACAAAAAAAAAAAAAAAAAAGTTGTGCCACAACTCCCGAGCCACACTCAAAATTGGAAAGAAAATTTTTTTTAACGAGACAACATTCTTTTGGCAAAGAAAACCAAAAGCTCACCTGCTGGTCACCCTCCCCTTTGAAGATGATCCGTTCGTTATCTCTCATGCCCTTGTCCACGTGCACCTCCAGGTACTTGATCTCCTTTATCACCTTGCGGCCTTTGCAAGTCTTGCAGGCATCCTTCTCGTTGATCACCTCACCTTCAGACACAGTCATGTTGGTATCAGCATCCCTTCACAAAGACTGTGCACCTTCAAAATTGATACCATCAGCTACCCTCCACAGGCTCGGCACATACATGTTATTACACCAAATATGAAATTTTTGGTGCAATAACATCATTGCATTACCCAATAATCAACTGCTCACTTTTCTGTCATATAACTTAACTGCATCACACTCATTTCACCATGTTTTTTCTCTAACTGAAAAGCAATTCAATTACTTGCTTGAGAGTTAGCATAGTTAATTACTTTTCCTGTTAAGAAACTGGGCAAAATAATTTTAGAACCCAGAAAAAGATATAATTCCTTTGTGCAAACTTCTCACATTGCACCAAGCACAGATTGCAAGATGAAAAGCACACACCAATAGAGGTATGCCCGAGACGACCTTCAAAAGCAAGTCCCCGAAAGCGTTATCGGTTGTTACATTCTCCCAGATCATAGATCATAATTCTGTTATGGCAGTTTATATGGCAGGGGCTAGGCTTGCTGGTAAAATTAATGCACACTATTTGATGTCCGGTGCTTCCACTGACCATGTCATTATGATTATGAACCTTTCCTCTCATCGGGTATTGAGAGTTCAATATATTTGTTTCCTACTAGTGAAACCGAAATAAACTGAGTTGCTTACTTAATTAGTGGCCCAATCTCACATATATCTAATCTAGTTCTGAGTATGGGCCATTTCCTGATAAATTAAAGATAGCAAGAGAGTCGGTGATTCACAAAGGAGGTAATAAAAATGGACTAAACAACTGCAGACCAATCTCGGTTCTCCCCATTTTTTCCAAACTCATAGAGCAAGCTAATAATGCACGACCAATATATTTCTTTGAACAAAATAATGTTATAGCAGAGCAACAGTATGGCTTACAGAAGCAACAATTCTCTGAATTGGCACTGCTAAACATCAAACATAAAATAATTGACAATTTCGAGCAGAAGTTATGTACAGTGGGAGTGTTTCTCGACTTCAAAAGGCTTTCAAATCAATCGAGCATTTCTTTTTTTAATTGTCTTTATTTGGGATTAGGAGAATTTCCCTTAGCTTAATAAAAATATATTTATCAAATTGTTTACAATATAGACATTAATCATGCAGTCAAATATGGGTCAAATAAACTATGGTGTCCCACAAGGCTCCATTCTTGGCCCACTTTTATTTTTAACTTACATAAATGACATTGTAAGAGTACCTCAAACACCAAATATAATTAAACATGCTGATGACACAAACATTTTTTTCTCAAACAAGCTTAGACGTAAGGTGAAATCAACGCATGGTTCGAAAATGTGTCATCACGACACAAAGTAAACCAACTTAAACACGAAAAAAAAAAATATATATATATATATATATTATATTTTGACCATGGAATAAATGTATTCAGCAGGAAATTAAAATTCAATTTCAAAACAAAATCATTGAATGTTTTATACTACATAAGTTCCCAGGTGTTCTGTTTCACAACTCTAGATTGGTCTTTCCCTGTGCAGAGAGTAAGAACGGAAATCTCACAATCTATCGGGATTATTTATACTTAGAAATTTACTGCCTCACTGGGTAAAAAAAAAACAGCTATATTATACCTTAGTTCATTCATGTCTTCCCTACTGTTTTCTTGTATGGTGGACCACAACAAAAACAGATATAGAAACCTTGCACATACTTCAGAAAAAGGCCTTGCGCTTAGTCGAAAATGCCCCATACCGGAGCAACTTTGTTTCGCTCTTTAGAAAGCACCAAATATTAACTATTTAAAATGTTATAAAGAAGTTATTTTTATTGATCTATAATCGGATCAAATTAGAACACGCTGCCTTCTTCAATAAGTATCTTCGGAAAGATCATCCATACAATTTTCAGCACGAGCTACACAAAGCAAAAAATATGCACAACTATGGCATACAGAAATTAGATTGTCAACTATCCAGACTTCTAAATGACCACCCTGATCTAATGGCCATTATACAGGGAGATATGTCTGTGCAAGCTTTAAAGAAAAACACAAATGTGTATCTATTGTCACTTCAGAAGTAACAAGTGTTTTGTTTTTCTTGTTTTGTGCTCGTGTGCTTTTCTTTTTTTGCAGCGTTCATCTACAGGCTTAGGGAAAAATTATTTTTTTGCTGTAGAGATGGCTGGTTCACTTGCATCTTGCTGATGTCATTTTTTTCTGCTATGTTGTTGCTTGTGGCCGCATTGTTTGCCGTGTTTGTGCAAGCTTAAAGGGATACTACAACGAAATTTCGAAAATTATTTCTTGGTATATTCCTGTTCAAGGGAGCAGTATCACATAAGATGCACCAATCACTTGTTGAAAAAGACACGAAAATGAATTTTAAAACAAATTAAACAATTAGCGAAGAGCACCTGGTGAATGTTGCTAACGCCTTGTTTGTGATGCCCATCTAAGAACCTTGACAAGTAGTGACGATAACTGTCTCGCCTACGAGAGAAGATGGGAAGGAGAAACTCTCCTCCCCTAGAGACTCTCTTCTGTGTGTCCCAGATGTCGCTATGGTCCCTCTAGAAGATTATACAAGGTTAACCCGTCACTCAAAATCCACACAAAAGCAGCTTTGCGGTTAGTTGCGATGGCCCGATCGCTGGCATGCTTCGGCCGCTTCGGTGTCTGGAACGGCTAGTATATCCTCTCGACGTGAGCCTCGCCGCAGCTTTGCTTGTCCCGAGGCCGTCTACGTCACGACTGCAGCAAATGTCACGTGTTCTCTGCCGGCTGCTCCAAGAAAGCTTGCCAGAGTGGGCCGTTTATAACGAAAAATACAGCAATAAGTCTCAAAGTACAAATGTGCGATTGTCATTTACAGATATCGTGGATCATATTCAGCCTATTTCTAAACACGACGGGTATATTTCAAAGTTCGTTGAAGTATCCCTTAAAAAAAAAAAAAGTAATGAGAGTCATTGTTTCTTGTCACGGCATGGGAAGCAATCCATTCATTTCGTCCGAGCATGCTGGATGGTCCGACCGTGAAAGGGGGAGCTGTAGCCTTGTCAGACGTGCCAATACCTTTTGTGACAGCCCCCCCAGACCACTGTATTCCTTGACGGTTGCCTCAATAAATTTTGACTTGATTTACAATGTATTAAAGAGGTTGCACTGCATACCACACGCCTTCTTTCCTACAACCAAGCAGCTTCACAAGGAGTTTGCGCACTGAGAATAATATTAAGTCCGTCTTGTGAATGTAAAATGCAAAGGCACAGCCAGGGCCCATTTCTTGTAGCCCCGAGACCAGAGCCCGTGGGTTGGCCTAGACTCTTGCAGACGTCTGCACCTCAAGCGTTTATTAGCAGTACAATGCGTACGTGCCAAAACCTCTGCAAATACCGATCACAGCTGAAAGAGGAGTCAAGCCGCGCTCGACAGAAAATGCACCCACTCGGTTAATTATGCGAAAAAGATTAGACGTAGAAAGTCAGTTTTCGCACGTGGTTTACTCTTGCAAGCAGGTAGGCAGAGTTTGTCATAAATGGCACATTGCTGCAACCTTGTCCCGCATATAAAAAAAAGGCCGGAACTGTTATCTCACCATCTCCTCGGCAGTCCGGGCACGTAGACTGCATCTGCTGCATCATGTTAGGACCCAGATGCTTGAAGGTCACCTTGATACCGCGACCACGGCAGCCATGGCAGACTAGGACAGAGCCTGATCGCCCGCCCAACCTACAGCATCAAGTCACCACGGCATTTTAGCATCTTATGGCGCACGGTCCCCACAGCAACAAGAGACGGTGTCACTTAAAAAGCAATTTAGTTTTCCAGCCCTTCATTACAGGCATCACTGCTCCAAAGTTTCCCCAAAAAGCATAATAACTAACCCATCACAGGTCTTGCAGATGACTGTGTGGTCTACTTCAAGCTTGATCGTTTTTCCATTGTAAAAATCTTCCAACGACACCCTGCAAAAAAGTGAAGCCGTGAAGTCATGAACTGGCGACCCAATAAGGACTGCCTAAAAATGCCCACAAAAGAAGACTATACTAATATCGGGTATTGATTCCACTGTCCACAAGTGTTTTACCAGCAGATGATTGTTCAATACTCGAAGGGAAGTCCTCTTTATAATTGTTTGTGTGGCTTCTTCTGTTGCTTCTGAATATAAACCCCCCTACATATTTCTATCTTTACCCCAAAACCAAGCAGACAACTTTGCACTGACAAATTCCAGCAATAAATGCTGGAATCCAGCAAGCTTAATAAATACCCACTTGAGTGGGTGGACAGTGTCCTCGCCCCGCTGACGCCGTCTCCTCGAGGAGCCATCCATGCCAAACATGCTGCCAAATGGGCTTCCTCCAAATATCTGCGAGAAGATATCTTCTGTCGCAAAGGGACCTGCAATAAATGACGAGGAACACCTGAGGGCTTGCTTTCAAAACAGTGTCTGCAACATAGTGGAGGGGGCATACTTTACAGACAACACGCCACGTGCACCCAACATTAGCATATTCTCCAACAGATGGCACCGACAGAAATTTTTAATGCCCCTAGCTGTCGAGCTATGATGGCCAATGTACTGCTACAGATTCGGTCCAGACATATTATGTGCCATAAAAGTGACCCGGAAGGAAAGGTCAATTCTGCTACATTTGTGATCCCAGATGCAAAATGCAGAAAGGATTGCCTGTCTAAACAGAAGGATTTACTATTATTCCTGACAGTCTCGTTTCGTAGACTAAAAATAAACATCACTGCAATTATGCAGTGATATACGGAAGTCCTGGGCTATTGACTTAGTAATAGCCAAGGCTTCTATAACCCTTTCTTACATCCAACAATGCCTGCACTCTGCCCATCCTGCTCTATGGCTACAGGCCTACAAAACACTTTGCCCAATAAATAAAACATGAGGGGGGGACCCAAAAGTAATCGGAATTACTTCCTTGTAGTACAAGTTTCTCCCACTAAGCGAGCTTTCCAGAGACCCATCTGCATCAGTGCGGCAGCCACCGTTCTTGCGAGACATTGAGTTTGGCTTCAGTATATTGCTTTCAGACTCTTTCAATGCATTTTCATATTTCGTGATGGCTGATTTAAACAAACAACGTGCGGCACTTAAATCTTTATTTTTTGTTGAATAGAAATGCGGCAAAAACTATTGTTATGCTACAGTCCGCTTACAAGGAAGCTGCTCTGATTAAAACACAAGTTTATAGATGGTTTTCCAGTTTTAAACAAGGCATAACGTTTACTGACAATCAACCTAGTTCTGGACGTCCTTCGACCAGCCAAACCGAAGAGATTATGGCAAAAATTTGTCAAGCCACCTATCACTGCCGTCGGACGATTGATGAACTTGTGCAGTTCATTGGAGTGTCGTGGAATTCCTGTCAGCAAATTTTATAAGAGGATTTACACACAAAACAAGTTTTAGCAAAATTCGTGCCTCGCTTCAATAAGTTTGTTTGTCCACCATGACAATGTGCCTGCACAGTGCCCACACCGCACTGAACCTTCAGCAGTCTTTGACCAAAAATGGTGATTTCTTGTCCCATATGACTTTTTTTTTTTTTTTTTTTTCTCCATTGACAAAAGTTCTCATATGAAATGGCTTGCCGATGTAGAAGAGGTGAAACAAAAAACGGCAGAAGCACTGAAATGCATCAACATTTTTGAGCATTCGAAGAAACGTCTCGAGAAGTGTACTGCATTGGGCAGAGAGTGCCATGCTTTGAAGGTTACTGGAATTTAGATGTGTAAAAATAAATCAATGCTTTTGTAAAAATAAATTCTGGTTTCTTTTGGGTCCCCCCTCGTATGCAGTTGCCATTTGGTCTCATGTACCCAATACTCTAGAATCCATTCAAAATTAAGCTGTCCAACTCATCCCATCTAACTATGAACACACTGCCATCAACCATGAAAGCTTCCCTGTGCAACCCCACTACTAGTACTCGCCGCAGAATATTGTGTCTGTCTCCACCATAAGATCTTCCATCATCACCCTCAACTCAGATAGTCTAGGCTATTAGAACTACATCAATCATGAAGACATTTTAACTCCCTTAGCACGTCACACCCCTGGATCCACTGATGCTTTTAACAACTCATTTCTTTCTCTTGCCACAACAGAATAAAATAATCTGCCAGATCCCATAATGTACATTACAGACCCAGGTTTTCAGAAATACTGCGTCATCTGGAAGTGCTACGTAATCAATGTAATGTTATCTGTTACTCACTGCTGCTTGACCCTGAGCTAGGATATTTTTTTTTATGTTTTGTCTTTCATATGTGGTTGAAAAATTAAATTAAAGCCAACATTCAACCAGCCATCAAACAGATAACCAAACAATAATAACAAATATTTACACAGCATGTAGCTAAAGAAAACTTTTAAGGTACCATTGAAACATTGATTCTCCAAACCAAAACTGTCATTGATGCAGTCACTACAACAAAATTCACAAGTGCAGCCAACCATGAGGCATTTCAATAAAGACAAGCAACGAATATACATTTTTAAAGGGGTAGTGCAACGAAATTCTAGCGCCTATTTTATTATCTAAATATCAACCACGTTCTGGCCACACCATGGAGACACCAATTTTTTGCTGAAAAAGACAGCAAAACATTTAAAATGAATAAACCTAATGTCGTCGTGTCAAACTGCGGAAGCATGGTGGCAAGCTGCGTACACGTGAGCCCTGTTGTACTTGGCCGAACAGGACTTTCCTTCTCTTCCACACCTATTCAACCCCTGCAGGGAGCCAAATCTCGAACGACCAGGTTGTAACGTAATGACGCCACCAAGTGGCGAAGCTCACAACCATGCTATCCTCCCTGTAGCCTTGCCAGTGAAGAAAAACATGTCACAAATGCACAGGATCTGCTGCGACGCATTGCACTTTCTGACGGCTGTTCTCAGCCTTCCTTTCCCTCAAAACTTTTCTTCATCTGTAACTGACTATAATACTCACTGAAAAAGGAATTGAAATGATAAATCATTTGGAACATTAATGAAAAGCACCAATACCCTTTACTCAAAAGAACATAAAAAATGTTATTAAAGAAACAAAGGAGTCAGAACCCTCCAGGTTCTGAGTTTTCAACCACTGTCAATTATAAAAATCATTATGTAAAAACATGCCAAAGGCCCTTTCTGCCATCACAGATGCTGAAGGCAGATTGAGGCAAATTCCAAAATAATTTTGCACCTCCTTGAAAGTCTACTAAAAGAAATACTTTTTTAATACAGACTTTGTGTCATCCAAAAAGAAAATGATTCTCAAATACATAAAAAGGAATATCAAGACACACTCCCTTTTGATGACCAACCAGTTACAATTCATTAGGTTTCCAAGACTGCAGTAATTATGACTTCATAAAAACACTACAGCTTCTGTGGGGGTATCAATCATATTTCCACAACCCATCATCCAAGACTGCATTAATTATGACTTCCTAAAATTGCAGCTTTTGTGGAGGTATCACTATTTCCACAACCCATCATAACAGATTTCTAAAAAATATATATATATTAATGTCATTTGAATGTCAGTGATGTCCCCTTGTCCACATCAGATTCCATCACATTGCCACAAACAGGTTCGGTAACAACAATAATCGCATCACAAAGAAAATTCAGAATTGCAGCTGCCAAGAAACTCCACAGTTGTGATTTTTTTGGCAACTCGCTAAAGAAGTCGTGGTGTGGGAGACTATGTATCTAGAAAGTATTCCTTACTTTCGTGTACACCTTCTTTGAGTCCATTGATGCCGTAGGTGTTGTATATTTCCCGTTTCTTGGGGTCTGTCAGGACTTCGTAAGCAAAAGAAATCTCCTTAAACTGCACAAAAACAAACAAGTTAAGCACCACTGAAGCTTTTCACACATTAAAAAAAAAATGCACTTATACAAGAAAAATTTAGGAAAACACTAACAACGCCAATTTCCTGTCCTTTATAAGTAAGGTTCTGCGTCTTCAGATAAATCCGAAAAAAAACTAACAAACATTGTGTTCTAACAACTCTAATAAATGGATGTTTTCTAAACACAAGATTTTCAAAATTTTGATTCTGAAAGAACAACTTACACTTCTTTCTTGCAATGACTCTGGCTGACTTGGCAACCTTTTATTTTTCTTTAAGTTCTTCCCAAAGTGTGCTGCGTCTGCTGATTATGCGGTGCAAGAAGACTAATCTCGGGCACCTGGTGCCGGTATGCACTCATTGTGATACTTGAGCCCATTGTACACAGCACACGTTCAGAGTCAGCTCCATCCATCTCCCAAGAAAACCTCAGTAGTGAAAGATATTTACAGGCACTAATCTATATAAATATGTTACTCTTAACCTCACTATCACTGATTGGAATGCCTTGCCTTGTAATATAGCAGTGTCACAAGATTATCATACATTTTCAGACCTCTTGATTTCCTTTCTCTCATCGTAAAAAACGGTCGCATTCAATCTCGTCATTGTTGCGTCATAGTCAAGCTGCAACTCATGCTTTTTATTTTCTGTTCCTCATGCACATAGTATGTTAGGAACTAAAGCTGTGCTCCATTCATCTTAGCATGACAAACAGTGAGCCCTACAGGCACAAGATAAAAGCACTGAAGGTGATTAGACAGCAGAAGGCTGGAAGCAGCTGCCAAAATGAGTTCGTACTCCTGGCTTTCCCTGTACAGCACACCACTAGTGAAAAAAGCCCAGTGTTGTGAAGTGAGGACACATGCATATTGCATCACGACCCACAGGAAACAGTGGATAAACTAAAGCATGTCCCACCATCAACCAGACCTCTAAGTTGATCTCGAGGCAACTAGAAGGTTGTACCTAGTGATGGGCCAAACTTTCTTAGATTCAGCAAAAATACATTGTTGCCAGACTTAAAAGTTAATCTTTTGTTTTTTCGGGCGAAATAAGTTTTTTTTATTTTTTAATGCATATTGACACAGCTATTACCGTATTTACTCGCATATTGGTCGATACGTCGTATAGGTCGACCCCCTAACTTCGGGACCCCCGAAAAAAAAAAAAAGTTGAAAAATATAATACCGGGATTCGCGTATTGGTCGACCCCCCAGTTTTGATGAGGCGATTTTTGAAAAACAGGTCGACCTATACGCGAGTAAATACGGTACTAAATAAGGTTAAACTCTACAAGATAATAGTATCGGTGTAATTTTTATGTGTTTACTGGCAATTTTACAGCGACATTTAGCAGAAGTGGTGCGATGACGAGGTTGGGTAGCAGCGGGTGCAGTCACAATACCAGTTTCAGTTTTGAGGCTTCATCAGCGCAAGCCTGCAAGTGTGTGCGGTGTTAAAATAATGGTGGTAACCCAGTGTTCTTACTTTCTCTGCAAGTAAGCATTTCATGCGCAAAAATGACTTTAACGGCTACTGAGCCTTCACCAGAAGAGAGAACAATATTATTGTAAAATGCACGTTTTTTATTTGAGTCTCCTGATGTCAGCTTTGCATTAAGGTGTGTGTTCCATATTCGCAACGCCTCAATTTTTTAAAACTTTTGAAATGCTGGTTTCTGATGTTAGGACACACGCAGACGTTTAGAAAGATGGGAAGAGCTAGGAATGTCGGATGTGCAACGTCGAGCATGATAGTTCTGTGTTTAGTTTTATGCAGATAAATGAAAACCGCGAAATAATGCTAATTAAAAAGCAAAATTATTTTGTTTTCGCACTAACTACATGTGAGCCGAAAACAGAATTGCTCTAATTGCGAGGAGTGCCGTAAGGTACTTGTCAGTCAATGTTGCATCACGGCAAAGATCAAATGAAAATCACGTTATCCAGAATGCACCGCATTATTTGTCAGTTGCGCAGTGGACCGAGTCAATTCCTGGTCGACCTGTTCTTGAGGCAGAAAATATTGAAGAGAACCACAATCACAAAGGCTGACAAACACAGTTACCATGTCGCCTACTCTGCACCTCGCCTTAACCGCAGGTACTACACTATTTTATGGTAAACGCACGAGCGCACAGTGTCTATTTGCAATCTATGGCCCCGTCACGTTCTCGAGCGTGTGCAGACGTTTGCCAAATTTTTTTCCGAATCTTTACCTAATTTCTCTTCAAAAGTTTGGCAAGTGGCGAACTTTGCTGAATCTGAAGTTCGACAGATTCAGTCTATCACTAGCTTGTAACAAAAAGTAATCGTTTTGGTGAGTTTCAAACTATCAATATTCGGAGAATTCTTGAAAAAGCAGGAAACTCTGCTAAACACTTGAGCTTGGCAACAGCAGACTCGCATGGAAAGAGCTTAGATAATTAGGCAGAGTTGCATGATGGACAATGTGCTTTAAAAGTTCATTGTCACTTTAATATCGTGCTGTTACGGCCAAAGTCTCAAACTGTATTTAAAGGTGTGCGGAAACCAAATGACATGAGCGCGAGCTCTTTAGCCCTCGCTTCAAAGTTGCCCAGCGAGAAGCGCAATGAATATCGCGCCAATAGTTCTCGCACCGCTCGGTCAAGGGCACTGTAGTTGCGAGCCTTGCCGCTTGGTGGCGTAAATGCGTGACAATCTTGCCTAGTACTAATATCCGAGGACCGTATGTGCTATACACAGCTTGCCCGTAACATCATTTGCGGCCATGCCGGTATTTTATGTGCCACAAGAGTTCGCTTCATCATGTCAGTTTCACACCACAGAAGTAGAGGCACGAGGAAACCAGCAAGTAGAAATAACCGTCAGCACCCAGCAATGGCGTATGGCTGGCCTGACAGAGGTCTCCGCATCCTCTGATCAAGCTCCTACCTAACGTCTGCAAAGAACGGCGATCTCGATGGTGTGTAATGCACGTTGCAGGAGCACTGCGGAACTGGGACTGCAGCCAATGCCACAACTACGAGAGTTTGGGTCGCTGCTTCGAAGCGTTGTTCCGCAGAATGACCGAGCGCTCGCACTAGAAATGCAAGCTTCAAAGCCATGAGCGTGGGCTAGCTCGCACTTGCAGCTTTGGCTGCAGTCTCAGCTTATGAGCATTAGTTTTCTTGATTTCTCTGCCTGCAGCCCAGAAACACTAGCCTCGGCTAGTGTTTCTGGGCGGCCGGCGCATCATGGACTTCATCTAAACAAAGAAATAAAAGTGCAAACATTTCGTTTCCGTACCCTTTTAATAAGTGTCAAACGCCTCAAATATTGGTACATGATCATCAAAACTGTAACTCCCTTCCAAAAAAAAAAAAAAAAAGACTGGCCTTCAATTAATCGGCATTTCTGGCGCGGTGGGGGAACATCGTCTGGATATCCCCCTGAATGAACTCTGAAAACGCAGAACCCTACTTGTAAGCATCCATTTTATGAGCGGGCACAGGCACTTCGCGCGGAATGTCCCGAGCGTCGAGTCGAGGAGAGCACACCTTGAACACACGCCACGAACAAACGTAGTCGGAGCGTGCGGAGTTTACCGAAATCGTGGCCAAACGAGGCGATATACCTTTTCGCCTTCTTGTGGATTTTTGTCCGGGTGGTACTCCTTCGCCAATCTCCTGTAGGCCTAAAGACGAGAGAAACAGCAAGCCTCAGCAATCTATTGTACGGAAGCTAAGAGGTTAGCGGCAGTCGGACTGCTCGAGATCAAATATTCCCAGCTCGGGACGTCCCCAAGGGACAATAGCGAATCCCAAGGTTTTCCTAACCGCTAACCCACGTTTTCATGCGCAGATACGTAGACTTCGGTTACGTAGTACACAGAAACGGTGGAATGAGACACAGGCAAACTGTGGGTTCAATTACATTTGGAAACCTGCATGCGGTGGTCAGGTAGCAAAATTTACAAGCTCCTCAAGCATCACTCGCAGAATGGTAGGCTTACTCGGCGACTAGGGCTAGCGCGTTAATCCGAAACAGTCTCATGCCGGTCAATTTACCCAACCGCGGCCCGCATTAGCTTACAAACGTTTCGAGCAGTGTGAAATGTGTACCTTTTTGATTTCGTGTTCAGTCGCATTTCTTGAAACTCCCAGGACATCGTACAACTTCCCGTCAGACATTTTTTTACAAAGAATGAAAGACTCGGACTGCTCGACCCGATTGACGTCACACCATGGCAGAGTGCAGATGGCAGAGTGGATGCAGCCGCACCGGCCGCACAGTCGCACGGTTCGTCCCTGCGTGCCTGCGTGCTCACTGTGGGCTGTCGGATGTCTCGAGAAAAAGTTATTAATAGAAGTGATTTTTTTTCTTCATATAAGTAGTTTTAAAGCAATTTATTTTTATGTTACAGACATTACTTTTTTTTTTTTTTTTAACTTTCGGCATTGCTGTTACCGCCAACGTTACGTTACCGCTGCGTGGATGATGGATGGATGAATACGGCTGAGCCCTTTGGATCGGGCGGTAGCTTACGCTACCTAGCCATTTTGTTTTACCATTTCAGCTTAGAATATTTAAATGTGAAATCTATATTCACTCCGCAGTGCAAAGAAAGTGAGGCTATGAAAACCCCTTGCCATCAGTGAATAAGAAAATACCTAGTTTTCTCTCGATTTCTGCCACCATTCACTTAATCTTTGCTTGGTAATCTCTAGTCTTGAAATCCACTCTCCCTTCGCTGTCTCTAAAACCCAATGACTTTATTAAATCTATGTTGTCTTCGGTAGGCATAGGGTGAAGCCCTTTACAGTAGAGTATCAAGTGCTCAGCCGTCTCGTCCTCCTCTCCACAAGCAGTGCACACTGTATCAATATCCTGGTACTTCACTCTGTATGTTCTGGTTCGCAGAACACCCGTTCTTGCCTCAAACAGCAATGAGCTTCCCCTAGAATTGTCATAAATGCTTTCTTTGGCATTAAGTCTTTTGTTTAATCTATAGCTTTCCAAAGCCGTCTTTGTCTGCATTCCCTTTGCATTGCGTATTAACGCCGTCTCTCGGCGACTAGCGGCGAACGCCCGGAGGTTCCAACTCCGGCCACAAATGCATGGGGAACGGGAGAAAATCGCTGCTTCCTGATTATTTTGGGGATCTATGGAACGACAATAGTTTTTGATATAATAAGGGAATAGTTTACAATAATTTGCGCTAAGTTGTGCACCATGAAATAACTTTTTTTTTTTTTAATTGCCTGAGCAACATTGTGCAGCAGACGACGCGGTGACGTCACACCATTCACGTGACCCGCTCCGGCCAATCCATAAAGTCCATCTCCGCTGCGAGCAAAAATCGTCTGCTTCAAACGCCATTGCCTTGGAAATTGCATTCTCAAAATTTGCACACGCATCCGATATTATTAAAACTTTGATAAAGTGTTTAGTGCTTTACTAAATTCACGATTCACGACAGACTAGTTTTGAAAAGTGTAAACTCGCCGTTCATTTTTTAATCAACCGTGTTGTGTCGAGCTCCATGTATTCTCCCATTGGGCGGGCCGCCTCATGGAACCCTGAGTACCACGTGACTCGCGCCGAGCCGCTCTGTCGGCCTTGTTGTCGGCAAAACACGGGGTTTAGAGGATTGCGCTACTCTGCTCCGTAGGAGCTATATAGTGCTCTAGTACTGGCCACTGTGGTACTGGCTCCTTGGGGCGGACACGGACCCTTTGCATCAATTTTGCAGTTCGCACCTACGCCAACGTTCTCTAAGCGATATTCCATGGAATCGTAGTCAACCGTTCGAGTTTGTGCTTTGGTGCTGTGCTTTGGTGCTGGGATTTCGCAGTCGAGTGGCTGCTCCCTGGCTCCACCACTGCCTAGAGCCTAGGTGGTCAGTGTCTTCGGGCTGTCCTTAGCACCACCCAGAGATGTCTGGAATAGAACCTGAAAACGCGTTCTGGAGAAACCTTTAGGTGTTGGTATCTATCGTGGCCACGGCCTCGGGACGCAGAGCCAGTGGTCGTGTCATGATGGTGGGTCATTCTGCTGAAGGGGGCTTTTCCCTAGCCCGGGGGGGGGGGGGGGGGGGGGGGGGGGTTGGTTGGTTGGTGGTTGGGTTGGTGGGTTGGTGCAGGTGGGTGCGCTTATAGGGCTTCAGCTTCCGCCCCCAAAATCCAGTGGACTTTATAATGTACACATGCATTTTGACCCAACCTCCCCATCTCCACACCCCAAGTCATGGACATCCCAGCCACCTCAGCACCCCCCTAAAAAAATTCATGGCTACGCCAGGAATTTTTTTCAGGGGGTGCTGACTCATTGCGTCAGGAAGAGTAGATGACGAGCTCTGCTGGTCGTCTACTCTTCCTGACGCAGTGACAAAATTAAAAGGGCAGCGCAACGATTTTTTAACTTTCGGTAGGTACCGCTTGGAGGTAGGTAATCCTTGACGTTTGTAAACCGAAGAAACATGCGTTAGCCTTTCTCACCACGCAGTGGCGGTCGCACAAAAAAAAGTCCAACACTTTTATGAGGAACACAGCGGTTGCTGACATCGAGTCTGCCTTCTTGGCATGCACCACAGTGTGGTCAAAGCATGGCCTGGTTCTCAACTACCGCTCTTTTTTTTATTATTTCTCTTTCTTATTGGTTTTGAAAGTCTTTAGCAGCTGGCCAAGTCTTCTCGTAGCGTCTCCTTGCCCTCCACACCCGCCTCTTCTGTTCTTTTTTTGTTTTTTCAGAAAGCTTTTGGCAGCTGGCCACCTCTAGTACCTTCCACTGTGCCGCGCCACACATGCATACAGACGCTCGCGAAATCTGAGTTAGCTTCCACAAGAATGCAAGCCTGCATTAAAATGAGCAGAGTTTACTTCCTCAAGATTGCCTCACTGTCCACAATAATAGCCACACCCACGCACAGTGGCGTACCAACTTGTTTTTGAGTGGGGGGGCAAACCAGACCCTCTCCCCCCCCCCCCCCCCCCAAATCGAAAATTCGGCGCAACTTTTGTCCAACTTTTCTAAAGATTTGGCAATGATTCGGCAAAATTACAACGTTACCAGACTTAACATTAATATTTTGTTTTTTCTCACGAAAAAAATTTTGCTTCTTCTTCTTAAAATAAATACAACTTGTAGTGCCTATTGAAAGAGTTATGACTAAATAAGGTGATATTCTAGAAGATAATTGTATCGATGTCGCTTTTGTGTGTTTACTTGTAATTTTGGAGTATGCTTCCAGAATGTGGCGTGACAACGAGGTTGGGTAGTAGCCGGCACAGTCACGAATCACACTACGAGAGCTTTGATTTTGAGGCTTCATCAGCGCACGCCTGCAAGTGTGTTTACATTGTTAAAATAAAGGCAATAATTGCGTTCTTACTTTCTCTGGTAGTCGCCGTTTCGTGCGCGAAAACGGATGCAACGGTTGCTGAGCCTTCACCAGAAGAGATAACAATATTATAAATATGCATGTTTTTCGATTTGAGTCACTTGACGTCAGCTTTGCATGAAAGTGCGCGTTCCATATTCGCAACGTGCCGTTTTTAACCTTTAAAATTCCGGTTTCTGGTGTTCGGACACACACGGACGTTTAGGAAGATGGGGAGAGTTAGGAATGGTCGGATGTGCAACGTCGACCATGATAGTTCTGTGTTTAACGAATATTTTTCATCAGTGTTTACTAACGAGTGCTTGGACTCCGTCCCCACTCTCCCTGAAGAGCTTTACGAGCGCATGCATCCTATTAACGTTAACTCCGCCGGTATTATAACATTGATTGATAAACTAAAACTTACTTCGTCCGCTGGAACCGATAACATCAACTCTAAAATTTAAAAGAAACACCAGTGTTATTTCGAGTGAGTATTTAAAACTTATCTTTATTCAGTCCTTATCTCAAAGGTGCCTTCCATCTGACCAAAAGGTGGGAAGGGTAATTCCCAGTCTTTAAACAGGGCAGCCGCTCTTCCGCATCTAATTATCGCCCTAATTCATTGACTTCAATTTCTTGCAAACTACTTGAGCATATCCTCTACTCCAATATCATGAGGCACCTATCATCCCATTTCTTTTTTTTAAACAGCAGCGCGGTTTTCAAAAAGGTACATGTACTTTCCTGCGAAACACAACTCTGCGACTTCATCCATGACCTGCACAACCTTGAACCTTGAACCTTGAAATAAAAAAACTGACGCAGTTTTTTTTTTTTTTTTTTTTTCCAAAGCGTTCGGCCGTGTTTTTTTATCAACGCCTTCTTTCTAAGCTATCATCTTTTTGCCTCGACCAAATAACCGTTTGCATAGATTCGTGACTTTCTTTTTTCCCGTGTACAGGTCACGTCCATGATGATCATGAATCTTCCTTAATAAATGTATCTCCTGGTGTTCCCCTGGGGTTCGTACTTGGGCCCTTACTCTTTTTAATATTTATTAATGACATCCCCATTGGGATTTCTTCAAAAAACCGCTTTTTCGCCGACGACTGCGTCATCCATAACAAAGTAACTTGTGTGCAAAATAATAACCAGCTTCAGGAAGATCTAGAGAAGATTAACAATTGGTGCAAAGAGTGGATTATGTCATTAAACAAGTATAAACGCAAACTAATCCACTTCACCAAGAAAAAAAACAAACACTGTCATTTAATTACTTCTTGTACTCCGATCTGATTGAGACCGCTACTGTGTATAAATACCTTGGTGTAAGACTAACATCTGACCTTCCCTAAAATAACCACATTGAAGTCATTACTGCCGATTCATCTGGAACTCTTGGACTAAGTAGACGTAACTTAAAAAGGGCTCCACCCCTTTGTTCGTAAGCTAACCTTGGACACGTACGTCAGACCAAAAATAGAATATGCTTCAACCATCTGGAATACCCATCGACTGTACCTCATCAATACCCTGTAGAGGCAGTTCAGAACAGAGCTGCTCGCTTCATTTCATCCACTTATGACTTTTTTTTTTCAGTGTCTCAGCGCTAAAAACTGAACTAACCATGTCCTCTTTGCAGCTTCGCAGAAAAGTCTCTCAGCTGTGCTTTATTCACAAAATCTACTACCACATTCCCGACCTCAAAACCACTTTGTTATTACCCCCCGACCGAACATCTTCTCGCCTCAGCAACGTCTGCACCATCAAGCACATTTCTGACTCTACTAACGCTTTCAATTGGTCATTCCTTTCTCAAGCCATCAGCCACTGGAACAGTCCCCCATCCTCCATTGTCACCATCTTGGACCCTGCTGATTTCTCCTCTGCAGTAAAACGACACCTTTCTTGGCCCATGTGATGGTGTGCGGGGCTATGCAGATAGGTGAAAACCCTTACGCAGAGCGCCTGCCGGGCCAGACTTGTACGTAGTTCAACTACTTTACTCAAGTTACTGTAGTTTAACTACTTTTCTGGGTAGTTTAGTAACTTTTAATTACATTTATATTCTAGTAATTCGTAGTTTACTTTAACTACT